CTTTTTCGCATCTATGTAACCTTGATTCTCGTAAAAAATTTTCAAAGTACCAATTACATCTTGGTCTAACTAGAAGATAACACGTTAAATTTAAAAAATGCTTTCCAATAACAGTGTTGAGTAAATCAGTGTAGGTCGGTAGACATGGAATGAAGACAAGATGCTCTACTCTGAAGCACTGTAGGCGTTTTCTTCGCTTCAAGAATAAGCTATGAGCAAGTGTTAACCATAACAAAAACTCAATAAGTCGTTGTGTATAATCTACGTTTCGTAAGAGCATTTTTCATAGAGGAGGGCGATGCTACGGCACATATATTACGTTAAGGATAAAAATAGAAAATTGCTCCCTTAACCGCCAAATTTCCTTGGATCGCTCTTACATTCAAAATTCACAATTAAGTCTTTCGTGTATGTCTGACGATGTATTACAAAAATAACTAAGAAAATAAAAAGAGAATCGATGCAGTGATATATATTGAATTACATAGCAACTACACTACTTTCGCCGGCTGGCTGAGTTGTTGAACGTAGTTTTTTCCTTAAAAATGTTGCCGGTGACATAACAATTTTGCCAAATCCTTCTTGATGAGCGAAGGCGTAACTTGAACGTTTCGAGCTTCGCCTACGAACCAGCTGAGGCTCATATTCTACCAGTGGGGAAGTAAAGCGCATTCTTTTGTGTGTTTCTTTTCGCCTCACAGTGTCGCTGAGTGTGGGTTTCAATTCATTTTCAAGGAAGTAGTACGACAAACGAGGTGCTATTGTCACAGCAAGAACAAGGAACAAGGTAAACCAGAATTTCGGATTACCGTACACCTCAAACTGCATACCATAATAGTGGCCCTGAGGGAAAAGGTCGAAGACGAACTTGGCGTAAAAGGCGAAGTAGAAAACGAAGTAAAACAGGATGCTTCCCCAGATAAAAAAATGATTAATCCAGGTCCAGTACTGCGTAAGAAACGAGATCTGTCGGGGACAAAAAGAGGTGTTAATATTTCTTCCTATGATGTGACCCCATAATGGTACCAGCACAACGCCGCAACAAGTCAAAAAAAAGAAAAAAGAAAAAAAAACCTAAATTCGTGTTTTGTCGCAGACCCCCTCATGGTCTTCAGTTTTCAGGGCTATCTTCCCTTGGCCAACCTATACTCACTCCTTGAATACATTCATCAATACAGAGAGGATTTAGCACTTCGCTGACGTTGTCACAAGAATTTTCAGCGCCTATCCACTCACCTCAATATTGACTACCACTACCAGTACAGCGGCGACCACCGTACCGAAGAAATACACAGATGACGTCTCTAAGCCATCATTCGCTATATCATCGTGGAACGCACCGTACGACAAAAAGAAGATTGCCAACGATGTGAGAGCCCCGTACAACAGGCTGAGAAAGAAGATTTTCTTGTTGAACAGTAGGTTAGTCTGGCCAGGAACGTACAATCGAGGATACTTGGAGCAGCCGTTCTCTGAGACGTCCTGTTTGAGAATAATAACTATTTTAATCGGGAATCAACTGTTTAGATAGTTGGTTTCGAATCCAGTTTATAACGCATTCTATCCAGAGAAGCATTCGCTTGCATAAGGGTATTTTTTTTTTGCAGCCAGTTTAAATGAGAACGCAAAGGCTAAGAGAGAATTAGAGCTGGAGTCTCATACCAAGATAACAGAAGGCTCGAGTCTTACTGCAAGGAAACGTAAAATTTGAGTCACGCGAGAGAAGCGTGTTGCTAGTCTATAAACACAAAATTAACGACAAAAGTAGGTTCAAATCCAAGAGGGAGAGGGAAGTTGGAAATTTTCTTCCACAACTCCGAGTTGCACAAAAGGTCAGTGGTACCCAAATCACAAAAGAGTTGAAGGTGTAACTGGAATAAGGTGCGACACGCAGAACATAAGACTTGACTGACAATTCAGAGGGTTAAAAACTTATGGAACGAAATCCTGGGGGAGAGCCTTTAATTTAGTTCAACAGAAGGCTTACAGGATTTTCTGGAGGTATTTGGATCATCGTCCTTCTCAATGACGACATCCCACAGTAATTTAAAAAGAATCCCTACCTGATCAAGAACCGCTAAAAACACGACTGGCGCGGAGGTAAAAAACACGTTATAAAATGAGATGAACCATGCATCATACAGCGTCTGAAAGAAGTACAAAACATGAAGATTTGGAAGTAAGTAACACTAACATTTTGCACCAACACAAACAAACACCATACACAAACAACAACAAAAAAGAGGGGAGGGGTTTAAATCCATTGTCAGTCTGATAAATGCCTATCAAACTACGCAGATTAATTCAGATGGACAAACTTTTTCCAACTTAAGCAATAAGACCGATGTACTGTGACCATAATATGCCATAAGTGTCCTGGATGCCCAAAGCGTCTGTCTTAAAACGAGGCCAAGTGCGTGGACTTTGTAAAGGATATCTTTTTGTTATCATGCAAACGAAAAACTAATATTACCAAGATAAGTTTTGCATTAGGCCCAATTTTGAAAGATAGGCCATTAAGATCTCGGAAATGGCCAATTTATAGAATAGGCAAGTCTCATCGGGCTGACAAACCCATTACAACAAAGCTGAACCAGGTTTTATCAGCATAAAACGACTGGGTGTAATGCTACTATTCCAAGATGAGATCCTGATTCACCACAGGTAACCCAGCAATTCATCAAGTTTCCCAAAGAATTTGCGGGTGCGGTGCCCTGCCTGAGACAGGTAAAGGAATGGAATCTAGTGATATCATGGCCTACCAACCTGGAAACAAATATCAGCTATACTTAAAAAACAAAACAACTATCATTGAAATTTACCCTACCTGAGCAGAAAATCCAGTATAAAAAGCGTACCATAGTTGACAAAGCGTAAATGCAAAATTCTTGTAGAAAAAATAGTTTAAAAATTTACTCATTCGAAAGTAAGACCATCGTCCGTGGACTAAGAGAAGTCGCTGAAGATACGTACGAAAATAGTTAAGGAAAAATAATAACTATCATTATCTTATATTACCGTAAATTACCATTTAGCAACCCTATGGGAGGAGAAGGAGGTTGTAGTTACGCACGGGAGTTAAGAAACAAGTGTTTGTAATTGGCGGTCACGACAAGCGCGCAAACAGAAATCCGTACAAAAAAAGAAAATAACGTGGCCTTATAGTAATACTACTCAGATGTAAAGGATATTTAAATTGTGCGAAGGAGAAGTCACTCGCCAGCACGGCTTGCATTCCTTCTTGACCGCTTATTCCAACACCTATATGAGCAGCTGCGATGAAACCCAGAAAAAAAGAAAAGGCACTGAGTGAGAATTAATTGTGTCCAAAGAATTCATCGTTCTGTTTTAAGATGGCTATCCTCCTATCAACGAACTAATCCATCGTGTAAAGTGCTTCATCAAATCAAAGATAGCCGTACCTTTAATCATACTAACGTCATTGGCTCCATCTCCAATAGCTAAGGTCACAGCTTGAAGATTGTCTTTGACTAACTGTACAACCAGGGCCTGCAAGAAACAATTGCAGCATGGTCGCTCTGTCCTTTAAATTCAAAGAGTAAATAACCCTTTCACTTCAAAGATCTCATTACTAATTTTCCATACTGTTCGCCATACAATTCATAGGGCGAAAGTTCGGAGAATTTAGCATTGGATCAACCAATCATCTAACAGATATTTTTCCTTGTTCTCAGTACTTGCCTTCTCGATGTTGTATTGGTACTGTAAAAAGAAATTCTGTCTTGGTCAATCTTGGGAATTTAAGGGTTGAAAAGAGAGAAACGCTGTAGTACCCGTGCGGCTCCTTTCCGCCGAACAGTTCATTAACCCTTTGACCCCTAAGAGTGACTGGCGTCTAATTTCTCCTTACAATAGCACCCTCTAATCAAACATTAAGGTAACGAGAATATATGAAATCATCACCACCCAGTGGAGCTCTTGATTTTTAGAGAAACTCTCCGTGTCAGCACCCTAGGAAATGTACAGAGAACAGTATAGAGACTATATATATTGATGTTAGGGTGTAAAGGGTTGAATGGCGTAATATTACGTCTACATGTCAATATTATGCCGTCGTCGTATTGCAAGGGGTTCGAACCCGTCTACGATTTAAAATTCGATTTTCCTGGGGAAAAACGACGAACAACTACTGGTTGTAAAGGCTGGTTTTTGGCTGGAAATTGATTTAAAACCAATTCTACAAGGATAGCATAGGATGCTTACTCGTAAACTCGCCTATTTTGCTTCTTTCTGCCACATCTATTCAGACAGCAGCTACTAGCTAAACGTTTGAATTGAAACTACCGGCGGAAGAGGACGACAAAATAAGCTGAAATGTGGTCAAAGTATGTACCTTTTGAAGTGGCGTGACTCTACAACAAATAACCGCTTTACAAAGGCAAGCCAACTCCAGGAATTCTTTCTCTAAACTTTCATGAAGAGCAAAAGCCTGAAAAAGTACAGTATGAAGAAAATATCGTAAAGTTATATCAGGAGTAACGCGTCTTTCAGAGAGAAAATAAGTCTGGTTTACTCACTAAACTTTTTCCAGGAATAACCAGTCCAAAGGTTTGTTCCTTTTTGGGCGTCTGAAAGTGTAAACGTATAAGAATGAAAAGCAGCTAAATCTATCAATCCCTATCAATTTGTCCATTCGTAAACAGTTTGGCTTATCAACTAGGTTGTGTTAAACCTTTCCCATTGGAGGAGAATCCCTACACCTTTCAAATGGAATTTTGATCCGTTGTCCTCAATAGTGCACCCTTTCTGACCATTTATTAAACCTAGGCAAACCCTAACATATCAGTTAAGAATTCTTCCAAAAAACGATGTAGAACAATCAAAGATTCAGTCATAACCGACCAGAACCAAGGGCACAATGTTCAGTTATTGTTTGTGCAAGAGCTACAACGTTGATTAGCTTAAAAGTTCACCTTTACCCCAGCCTGCTGAATAGCGGTTGTTTCCTACTTCGTAGAAAAGGTTGTGAAAAGCTAAGTTTTTCGTTTGTCTCACGATGTAGTCACGTGTGATGTAGATCGCGACGTTTCGACTGCATACTGCTAGTCTTCTTCAGGCGATGAGGTCGACTGGTCATGCGTGATCTTATAAAGCATGATGCTCTGCTGTGATTAGTTGTTTTTCAACAGCTCCGATTGGTGCATTTCTGGAATTTCTATTTAGCAAGGTATACATCGGAGAGACTGGAAGACCTATGCAAGACAGAATAAAGGAGCACGATCGAGACATTCGACTCGCCCGTACCGAGACCTCCGCCGTTTCAGAGCATGCCCACAACACCGGACACAAGCCACTCTGGAACGAAGTAAAGTTTATTGATCGTAACCCTTATTACTACACGCGCAGGGTCAAAGAGGCAATTTACACAAGACTTCACCCTAACAACATCAACAGGGATAGTGGAATAGAAATTCCAGAAGCGTGGATGTCCACGATCAAAAAACACAACAACAGGAGAGCCGTGCAACAGCGGACCACCGAGGGAGCAAATCACCTAGTGATCAGCAAGGATCGAAATGCACCAATCGGAGCTGCTGAAAAACAACTAATTACAGCAGAGCATCATGCTTTATAAGATCACGCATGACCAGTCGACCTCATCGCCTGAAGAAGACTAGCAGTATGCAGTCGAAACGTCGCGATCTACATCACACGTGACTACATCGTGAGACAAACGAAAAACTTAGCTTTTATTGTTTCCTACTTGTTCGCCTTATCAAATACATCAAGTTTGCCGCCCATGTTTTGCCGTAAGGAAACGAGTTGTCGTAGAATTTTGGCGAACTGGTGGAGATATGGGCGGGGAAGGGGAAAATTCTATTTTATGAGGCAAAACTTTCATAAACCGGAGGTAAGCGCGAAGCAATCGCGAAGGGGCGAGACCCTGCCCTCCTTCCCTTACGCATGTCTCGCCCCTAATGCTCGCATCCGCTGGCCTGAAAAAAGGCAAACAAATGACGCTTGTTCAGCCCCTGGAGATGGAGTAAAAGTTGGTGGTTGACATGCCAGAGCGAGTTGACTGGCCGTGACTGAGATCACACCACTAAACTATTTCCTCATTCTAAGGGCACAGTGACATAATTGTGTTCTCTTTTCATACCTGTACAGTGGCTGATTTCTCGCCCATATAGTTATCCTTGTACGATATCACTTCAACTTTTACATCCTTGAGGCTGTTTTCTTTACTTTGCAATCGAGAGATAGGTGCTCCTACCACTGCTCCGCCCTTAATTTTGTTTTTACATTCGGAAATCGCCCTTTGAACAGACTCTAAAGATTCTCCATCGATTGTAAACACTTCGGTCATATCATCGGTGAGCAGATGACACGAGTACCCAATATTGATGGCTGTTTCTGTTGAACAAGAAAAAGCAAAACGGGTTCAAATTTTCATACAACTGCCTTGTAACAGAAATTTTTAAAGTATCATTCTTGCGCATCGTCCTTGATCCGTACAAACAGTCTCCCAAAGAAATAATTGCCGCAAATAAAACACTGCACAAATTTACTACCATTTAACAAATTTGAAACTACAAGGGACTAGATAAGAGAAGGCTATTTTCATCCTGGACGGCAAAAACTTGTCATCGGATAACACGCAAATCGCTTATCCGCAGAGTAAAACACAACGGTATAATCTAAGTACCAATGTTGCTAATGTTTAAGTTGTTCAGAGAATCTGAGAATGATTAGCATAGAGAAGAGTTCAGTCTCTGAGATACCTGTCAAAGTCTTGTTACGGTATCTCTCAAAGAAAAGGCATGCAGCCATCATAGCAAAGCAATATCATCATACTTACCTACTTTATCACCGGTCAAAACCCAAATCTTAATATTTGCCTATTGAAAATGGGAGAAAAAGCTGTTAGCCAGAACTGATAGGTGAAAGATAACAATACACTCGGCAATCTAGTAAGACTGAAGTAAGAAAGTGGTGGTTAGTACGTTGGACTGCACAACAAGAGGTTTGGGTGCGAGCTCTGGCTGTGTCATTGTGTTAAATTCTGGCGCAAAACATTTTTAACACTTAACGTACAGACCTCAGCTAGAGTTGCGATCGTATCCGGGACATCATCTTGAAGTTTATCCTCAATTGCCGTTGCACCAATCAGTATTAAGTTCTGCTCAATGTCCTCATAGACCTAGTTTATAACAAAAAAAATATCTAAGCCGATGAAATCTTCTGGAACTTAAGTCACAATCTATTTTAAGTATCCTCACCTTTTGAACAAGCTCATCCCTATTTTCCATGGCCATACTGAAGGAGGAAAGATATATTACGTTAGAGAAAACACAATGCCAGACATGACTACTTGAAAGAAAAGATCACAAATTAAAGAAAAGATCATTTGGTATTGAGGTGAGTTGACAGCACCTGTCAAGTATAACCTATGGTATAAGGAAAATTTGTGAGCTAGCTCTTTCACTCCCCGGAGTGACCGAAAAGGTATTTCTTCCCACAATATTAATTTATTTTGGAGAAGAAAGGTGAAAACAGAAGAAATATAAAGCAGAGGATATTGTCTGATCTAGAACCAAATTCTCAATACTAACGTTATATGAATTAAATAACAGACATTGAAGAGAATTGCTGTTTAGATTTTTTGGTAGTGAAAGGGCGTTGCACAGACAGGTTGAAGAGACACTAACCCTGTAATTAACGGACACTGGCGAGGTTCGCCTGATGAGTGTTTCCTTTAGAAAGTGTCACTGTTATTGAAAATAAGCGACAGAAATTGAGTGATATGTTCCATTGTCGATGTCTATCTTAGGTGTGTCCTCTGATAAACGCAAACAGCAAGACCACAGCCATACAAAACAATCATACCTCGCCTCCTTGTACCGGACCTCCCACTCCTTGTACACGTCAAGTGGTATGTCTTTGTAAGCTGTTACCAGCGTACGCAAACCTTCCGCTGCAAAGACCTGGATAAAAGCAGGAAGTGAGCTAGGTGGTGTTTAAAAAAGACTGACTTGGTCACAAAACACATGTGGCTTTCTGATCAGGGCATACTATGCACTTACGTTCAAATGCTGCATTGTTTTCGTCATGAGAGGTTTGCAGGAATTGTCTAGAAGTTCGTACACAATGGTATCTGAAAGACAAACAATTTGTAAAATCTAGATTTTATTCTCCTTGCACACAACTGTCTAAATATAAACTAATGTTCGTTTCCAAAGGGGCCGTTCAATTTCTAACATAAAAGGATCTAAAGTAGTAAGTTTCTACAGTACGGACGTATATAAATTATACATAACAGTTTCAGAGAAGTAACAAGCTGGTGAACTTAGTGAAAGGAACTACATGACGTCAAGTACACTGGAACTTGAGATTACATCCTCGAGCGAGGAGAAGTTGACACTTATACCTAGATTGGATTCAAAAACAAGTCCTCCTCCACAAAGCGAAACCATAAACTTAAAATCTGACCATTGTAACCGACTGATTTAGACCACTTCGGTTGAAAGTGGACAAGGAGGAACATGTGGGGGGTCAGAAAAGGAAAGAGATGACAGTACAAAAATACGGGCCTATTAAACGATCTGGTAATTTTGCCAACCTCTTTCCCACTATTTATTTGCAAGCGTGCATGAACAGAACGTCGAGGGGGAAGCAAGAAACCAAGTTTAGAGACGAATTAGCACGTCGCATATCACAGTTAACAACTACTAACCAGCGCCTTTACAGTAGAGCTTTATTTGGTCGTTTCGTCGAACAATAACCTAAATAAAATGGACAAAATTCATACTCACTTAGTTAGTGCTGTAAAATACATCAAACCACAACAAGATACAACGTCTGCAAATTTTAATTACTTTAAAGTTGTTTTCAGTTTTGTTCTTGTGTGTTATTCAGGCGCTTATGCCTCGTGATTTTCTTCTGATGCAATTTTGTTTCAACATAAATAGCTGTATCTTTGAAAGAAACTTACCGACATTCGTTTTCGTTCATTGTTGAAATCTAAAATGGCAAGTAACTCATAGATCTCCTGCAATTTAAAATTAAAAATACTAAGAAGCCTGAAATAGGAGATAAAATCAGCCACCTTCCAAGAAATTCATATAGGATATTCTACTGACCTCCTGCTTTAATACATCAATCGTAATCGTGGTCGGTGAACGTTCCTGGGGAAAGATAAATTCATCGTGGATTGAGTAATCAATCTAGTGGCACATTCATATCAGAAATATTCCAATTTAAATCATGTACCATCCAGAGAGCTTTCCTGCATGACACCTTTCCGTTTATTTGACCTCAAGAGACGATACCATTTGCTATGGTCAAGACCGGATTCTAAATTTTATTGATGTCATATTTGATGAAGATACAAATGCTCCAAATACTTTATATCTTCCAAACTTTGATCAACCTTTTCTCGCTGAAATCAACGGGAGCAAACAGGTACCTTATCCCTTACACTCCCATGAGTGACAAAGACAAGATTTCTCCTTACAATATCAATACAATATCACGCAGGCAAGTGATAAGAAAAAAGAAAAATATCATAAGAGGATTGTTAATTAAAACAAGGCCAATTTCTCCGAACTAACTTCATAAGAGTTGTATGGTAGACAGTAAGGAGAATCACTCAAGGGATTTTGGAGGTGAAAGGGTTAAACTGGAAATAATTCCTCAAATTCTACAAACTTACTGGCAGTCGTTTCCTTTCGTTTTGGCTAAGAGGGCCTCGTGCGAGGACAGGAGGAGCAAAAAAGCAGCAAACAAATCAAAATAAAACAAAGCACTACAATATTGGTAGTCCTTCCACAGCCCGGCACATCCCTTCTTCTCCTTTTGCCCTCGTGACTCCCATCTAGCTTGGTCATTAGAAACAGAAACGACACTTACGCCGGCTATAACCCCGCCAGAATAATTTCCCTACCGCCATTTGATTTAGTAGCTAACAGTTTGTTACCAAAAAGGTGAATCCAAGGTTTCTTGCAGCCGTCACAAGAGCTGCTTCGTCGGGAGACTGGGCTTGATATTCCAAATTACCTACCAGAACAAAAAATTAAGTAAAAATACGGTAGACGGCGCCATCCTGTGAGACTGACTACAAATATATTAAATGGAGAGAATGGCCTGATTATGGAAAGTAATTTAGGAAAACAAAAAGAACGAGTTTTCCTTGAAACGTACCATTGCCTCGTTCCACCATAACCGTGTGACAGACGGCTAATAACCGAAACAGTTCATGGCACTCCTAAAAAAACAATAGATGTTAACAATGGCAGCCATAATTACACCTGCGTCTATAGCTGATTCTGTCGCACACTACTTTAACTCAAATATCACTGTCAGTGTAAACAACAGAAATCTCAGTACGAAGTCTATTATCTCAAATTTTACCATCGGTGTTTGAGAAGAATCTCAATATGGAACGAGTTGGTTCAAGGACCTGACAAAACGGATTCTGGCCAAGACGGCCCCGTCCTGTGAGAGGGGACACTTAGTTATCACACTCAAAATCAGAGATTTTCGGGTTCCAAAGGTAACAGAAGAAGGTAAAATTAATTTACAATCCTTTCAGAGTTGAATAAGACCACGGCAACTCAACTTATATGCGTGTACTCGTGAGGAATGGAGCTCCTCTTGTTTAATATACCGACAAGAATAAGTTTTTTCAACGTTTGGACCTGGATAATGGCCAGAAAGAGTCTTCAGTACGAATGCCAGCTGTTCTTGGAGTCCGAAACTCATTTCATTTAGTAAAACCTCGGATTACACTTTTCATTGAAAGTAACTAATTCTCCCCTTTGTCACATTCAATCCTACATGAATACGGTAAGCACTTTTCAGAAAATGCCAACTTTCGAATGAACGTTTTGTTACTTATAAAAAAATAGCAGCTTTTATTTGAGCAAAAGCAATACGAGATATTACGTTGTCACCTTGTTTCCTAGGTTTATTTCATCCGGCAAAGCCCGGTCATGAAATTTAAATTTTCCATCAGCGTAAGGATTGTTGGATAAGTCCACATCTGGTGCCTGAGTAACAAAAACTTCAACTGAAAAAATGGCTTTTGCTCACGCTTTGTCTTAACAACTTTATCACCCCTAAATACTTCTTTGAAGTCATTTGCTAGTGGAAAAAGCATTCGATCATCTAGAATAGAGTAAAACGTGGGTGTGAGGCTGATTTGCTTTAGTGTGAAAACGGGATTAGTAGATGAGAAAATTGACAACGACTGTTTTAGCGCCATACTGTTGCGCATAGTATAAATGTCACTGATTACATATTGAGCGATGTTACGCAAAAAGTTGACTCATTCAACATTCTACCAAAAGCTGAGACAAATTTATCAAGAATTCTTGTTTCAATTTATCCCGTGTAACACTGGCTTTAGTTCGTTGCGTTCGGTAATTGGTCTTGAAAATTCGCATCTCTCTCTTAACCAAAGAAATTCTGTATGTTACCCCTTCTTCTCTGATGGATACAGAGCTGACAAGAGTTTCCTCAGGATTTCCTGCACTCTCACCTTCTATGTGACCTAAACAGAAGAAATATAATGATTAACACTTTACACCCTCACATCAGCGCGCATGTTCTCCTTACTGTTCTCTATACATTTCCTAGGGTGCTGACAAGGAGAATTTGGTTAACAATCAAGAGCTTCTTTAGTTGGTGTTAGTTTCCTACATCCTCGTGACCTTAATGTGTGATTCAGGGAAGATAATGGATGGTGAAATTAGACGCTAGTCAATCTTAGGGTTTACAGGGTTGATTAGAGCAATAATACATAAGAATTTTTTATGATCGAAATCAAAACAAAATTGATACCATCACCATTTATGGTTAGTCACCCCTCTGGCCTTTATCATCGACTGAAAGTTTTTATAAACAGGCTAAAGTATCATCGTTCAAAACTGTCAGAATTAAGCTAACGACAGTGTGGGCTACATCAATCTCAATTTTCATGGTTAAAAGAAAGAAACAGCAGCTACTGAAATTGCTTTAAGCAAGATTTAATTCTTAACATTTTAAAGAAGAGTCTCAACACTTTATAAATCATGAGTAAGTTAGAGCCTGAAGGATTAGAACGTTATTTCGAGACCTTGTGAACTAACAGCTTTTTCAAAACAGGTTCTAGAAGTGTCAAGGTAGGCGCTGTCCACCACACTCGTGGTGTTAGATTGAAGTCGACAACAAGAGAGGTGAACCTGAACTTAAGCTTTTCTTCCGTGTTAATTCCTACCTAGGGTCAAACTGTTCCTTACCAACTCGGCAGAGTGTAAATCATCCAAACACAAAAATTAAGACCGCGACACTGAACAAATGGACATTCCGTAACCAAGTCCAATAACCTCGACATGCTCCTGATTTTATTTTCAATGACATGCACAACGCCGCGCCCCCATTTACAACGTACCCCACTCCCCTCCCTTTTGAGATTCACAGGTCGTCACAATCAAACATCTCAATTTATCGAATACCGGGTAAGAAGCAAGGATTGCACAATTTCTTTTAGTGATCACTCAGGCTTTGGGGCAACACTGATCATCAACAACAAGCCGAGAGATCGACTCGTGTCCGAGAACGATTTCATCGAGAGCACAAGAAATACACTATACTTTTTTTGTCCTGAGAGAAAGTTATTATTTCCGCTGATAGATCAATGTAAGATTGACAGAGCAGTTAGGTGAAAACCCAACCTAAGCCATGTAAACCAGTTTTGCAAAAGCTGTTAGCGCACAGGAAGACAGATCAGCGATTAAATAGTCATACATACGTCGAGAAGTGTCGTGCAGTGGACAATCAAAGAAGCAGCTATGAAACTGGCAAGAGTTGTGCGCCATGTGCATAGAGGGGTGCCGTTTGCCAGAAGAAGATCGTTCAGGAGGCTCTCCTGCCGCAATTACAGAACGATCAATTTCGGTTTAGCAGTGATTAGGTTATGCATTATTTTTCAGTCGATTTAAACCAGAGAATGTTTTCACTTGTAGTCTACCGTTACTATTAATCACAAAAATATTTATGATAGCCGATACCATGTTGTTGAATAAAGAATATTATTCCTCAAAAGGGATTAATTTTTCAATCCATTTCTCTAACAAAGTTATGATTGTTGACTTTCTGTTTAGCGTCGTGGCTCGTCTGACAAAAATTAGTTCCGGGTTTTGGAGCGTAACACAACAAATACAAGGAGGGAGGGACTACATGGGCCAATGCTGGTAACCCCGCTCTCTCCCCTCCCCTCCCCCACCCCACACCAGCATATTAGCAAGTTATTGACAATTCCTCAATCCCTATTGTGACCCTGACTAATGAGAGGCTTTGTGGAAGTGATGTGTCGTCCACAAGAACACAACACAATTAGCCCGGCCTGAGCTTGAACCAAGATTTCTTGATCTGAAGTCGACTGCGCTGGCCTGTAGGCCACTGCATATCCGATACATCGGTAAATTATCGGTAAATACGTACAGCACATTATAAGTAAAGCTACAATCCACTAACCATAGAGTCTACCATTTATGGAACATTTCTTAAATGTCATAATATTCTGCGTCAGTGTTCCAGTCTAAACAGAACACAAAAAATTTGTCTGAACAAAGAACATACTCATGGAGTATATACAACTTATTTAACTAGCTGATGTTTATATAGAACAGCAATTCTCAAAGAGCAGTCGCTTTCCTCTCAACAAATTAGATTCACTCAGAGGTGTGAAGCTGGAATGTTAAGAGACAACATTCTAGTCGTTCACTAAAATACTGTCAAAATGATACAAAAAATAGCCCACAACTCCACAAATGTTCATACAGTATCGTAAATCAAAACTTTGGGAGGTTTCAATTGCGCTGTTGTAAAAACAACGTCCAATACACTCCTTTAAATTGTTTAAATGAAATCTCCCAAAGGAATCATTATAAAATCTGAATTAAGTGGTAACAAGGATATAAACATACAAACTGTGGGGCGAAAACGGGTATGAGAAGAGAAGGAATTCAGAGTCAGGTGAAAGTTTTCCTTCGCGTTTTCAAAAGTGTGATTTTACATCGAATTATCATGCCAACTTTGCGCATAACACTCCTATCAACCCTTATTGGAACAATAAGTTGCACATCACTGGAGCAACATAAGCCACACTGGCTTTGGCACTCAGTTGGATACACTGCACTGTGACATAATCTCCCACGCAAAACCTTATTGAAACAGTGTGGTACCAAAACAGATTATCCTCGCAAGGGATTTTGTGGTGAAACGTTTCATAGACCAGCCATGGAACTCTTCACTTATGCAGCGCAAATTCACCTTATCAGAAAAGATGTATTCAATTTGTCCAAGTTCCTCACTTAGGGTGGTTGTTCTGTGAAAAAAAGGAAGATGGGAGTCAGCACTTTTCGTTACTGCTGAAAAACAAGCTGATGTTACCTATTACACTAATGGAATACCCAATTAAACGTCACTGCACTAGTTTCATTCAACCATGCATTACGATTAGTTGAGAAAACTTTCCCCTCTTTCTCGAAAAACTAAAAAATCGCGGTTTGGTCTGACTGGCCTGAGTTCTACTGCTACGTTTCACAGTCAAATGCAGCAAAATGGCACAAGGGAAAAAAATGTTAAAGTGAGAAAAAGTGTTGGAGCCCTACCATACAACAATGCTGCATGGGATATGACCATTTTCCTTCATTACGAACATCTCTTTGTGACCAAAAATAGTTATAAATGCAGTCCCTGTACTAACAGCACACTACATGGACTTTCGGTACTATTCTCTCGCGCGAGTTGACATAAATCGGCAAATTGATGTGCAAGCGCTCTGTGATCCAAAGACCTTGCTAGGGACCTCGCTCAGCAGCGATTACGTGAAGTGTTTTTACCTACTTCTGGTATACTGATTCAAGCGACAGAGAGACAGAACGTTGGAGTCTACCGAGTCCCATTATCGCAACATGTTTTTAAGGAGCGGCTATACTTGTTCACTTTGATATCGGACAATTCTAAAATGGGCTTCTAAAGTAAATCCGGGATTGCTACGGTTTTGCCTTCGTGGCTCCGTGATTGGTCCAGTATACCCGCGCCACTTGCTTGTTTTTAATTGAGCCCTGTGATAATCTTCGTTCTTTTGATTAGCTCTTGTAATGACTTAGGTTTCAGTTTTGCGAAACTTAATTTCAAAGCGCTCCATTTTCACAGTATACCTTGCCACAGCTGGAGTGTCCTTGATCTCGTAATACATACTGCAGTCCCAATTGATCCATAAACTTTGACCGAGGCGAATCACTTCCACACTAACACAAATAAAAATTAATTAGGGCGATACTAATGATAAAATCATTGGTATACAAAAAAACCATTGATCATTCATGTTACTGTACATTTTTATCGATTAAAAAATTAAATCAAAAGGAAAGGATATTGGCAGTCTTCGATCTACGCGGTTGCTCTTAGGGCCCTAGCAGCAAATGTTTGAGTTGAGGAGGGCGGGGGGAGGACTAATGACGAACGCATAAGCTTCAGTCAACAAGGCAGGGGGATGGGAGCATACTAAGCAGGACAAGTTTTTCTTCGAAAAAGGTGAGGGTCCGAAGCCCCTCCCTCGCCCTCCCTCTGCGCGGTCCTTGGCAGAAGAAGAGGAGTGTTGGTTCTTTTACAAAGATAAACCAGAGAACCCAAGAGAAAGCTTTTGCTCAAGAAAGAAAACCAACGTCAGAATAAATCTACACGACGTGACATCAGCACTGAAAATAGAACCCAGGCCCAAGGGTTGGAAGCAAGTACTCTCGCCTCTACGCCACTCCTATTCACCCCGCAGATAAAAATCTGCACTGAAAAGTGTGTCTTTAAAAGACTTTATTCTGTCAAAAATACAAGAGCAACTAGGATCAAAAGCGTTCTCTGGTAAAAAACAAAAACTAAAAAAGTGAGCTAATAGCCTCCCATCTTGAGCTTTCATAACCTTCAATTTATCAGGGCAAGATAGCAAAAAAGATGTGATCTAAAGAACACAAAAAATTAGAAACGAAAAAAAGCTTGTTTTGCTTTAAACTGCCCTCATCACTAAGATACCCAGAAACCTTACCTGATATACAGTGAAATAGGAATGAGTGTGTTCAAAACCATGACAAAAGATGGCCAGTGGACGATGCCAATGATAACAACACTGTCCTTATAGAAACTCTCCCATGGTAGATATACTTGGAAATCCTTAAATTATTTTAAAAATTAAAACCAATTCAGTATTAGTAAAGTATAATACCGTGTGTCTAATTAGCAAGGCGGTAACTGGTGAGTCAGCTACTAGTCAGTGAACAGGTTCTCATTTTTAGAGCAATTTTTCAAGAGAACAGAAACGTCAATACAGAAATGGAGAGTGCGCAGAATAGTCAGCCGTACCTATAATTATTCTCTGTTTGTGATTGCTGCAAAACTCTACAACTCTTAAAGAAGATGATTTCGTTGTCCTTAAAGCTGTTTGTGAAACCGAAATTTTGTGTCAGCGATCTTTAAAGATCCCAAATTTTTAGGATATTCGAGAACAAATATAACGTTGACGTCTCGTTGCAAAAAGGAGAGGCTCCTCGCAGACTAGCTCTAAACTAACTTCCGTACGTAAAATATTTTAATAACGTTAATTAAATTGAAGCATTTCTAGAGTATATGAGCTTCACCGACACTGTTTGTCATGTCTAAAAATAAAAAAAAAAACGGAATACTGAGTACCTACCTTTCCGTATAATTCCTCCCATATTGTTGTTGCAATGGAGCAGAGAGTGCAAATGATTCCTAACATAGCTGCAATCTACAGAAGAAATAAGATTGTCGAAGAGAAGTTCATTTAAGGAAGACCGCATTTGTACAACATTTTCGGAAGATGTTTATTTATTTCCAGCTAAGGGGCAGAATTATTTTGAATTAATGATATTATTGGACTAAATATATGTGCATGAATGTGGATCTATTTCACTGATTATTTTACTGTCCATTTTCCCTTGTTTTGGCTTGCATAGGGAAGCTGAATCATTTACACCCTAATGTCAGTAGGCATGTTCTCCCTACCGATCTCTACAAATTTCCGAAGATACTTGCGAGGAGAGTTTTTCTAAACAATCAAAAAGCTCCTGAAGTTTGTGATCATTTTTTTTATTCCTATGACCTTAATGTTTGATTCAGGGGTGATATTGTTGGGAGAAATTAGATGCTTATCACTCTTAGGGGTTTAAGGAGTTAATAAACAGGCTTCGCTTTGCTCATCCAATCCAGTCTTTTTCGGAGGGGGGGGAAGGGGAGCTTTCACGAGAAAGCATTTTTCAAATTGAAAGAGACTTACATTTTTTGCGCAACAATGAAATTAAATCAAATTACTACGTGTCTAAAAAATAACATACTGGCATCTGTTAAAATACTTACCCACAAGATCAGACTGTTGGTAAGCTTGTCCAAACCTGTTCTTTTGAATTTACTCACCCCTACAGGGAAAATCATGGTAAAGTTAGGAGATCATATTGTTGTAAACAATTACTTATAAGAAGATTTTCATGCAAGCAAGATCTGAAAAAGGTGCTGCATAATGAAAAACATGTTGAAACTAGTCATAAACAGGATTCTCATGACAGTGCCTTCTTTAAAACTGCCTGCTTCATTGTTGGTGCCCTCCCATTGACCAAAACCTACTCAAACAGGAGCATCAAAAAAATTTATTTACAAAGTACTAGACCTTCCAATCTTGAGATTAATCAATAGTAAGTCATTTTCCCCACAATATCAATGCAATGTCAAATTGGTGTTCAAATAGAATATCAACTGCAATGCATTGTTTGTCAGTAAACCCCAAATTCTCAAAACTGTCATTACAGGAAATGTATGACAGACAGTAAAGAGAACTGATATCAAGATCAGGAGGGAGAAAGAGTTAATCTTAAACCATACCAGTGTTCATCATGAGTTTAGTATCATGGCCAGCATATATCACCACACCATATACCCATTTGGTATTGCGCAGCACACAGCCCTGACAAAGGCAAATACATTAAAACAAGTGAAAAGTTTGATAAGATTTCCTGCTCAATTTTGAAGAAAATATGAAACTAAAAAATTTATTATTGCCCTCACTTTATCAATTTTTGACGTCATATCCAGCCACTACCTTAAGTTAACATTTCCTGGCACTGTATCTAAGTGTGGCATATAAGTCAATAAATGCTCCCATAAACCTCTTGGTTTCTCTGCAGCTCTCCTCGCCACACGTTCGATTTTCAGTTATATAATTTTATGTATGTGTAATTCCTTTTGTCTATACTTATGTGTTATAATTACAAAATGGTAAAATAAACAAGAAAAATTCCAATCATTTTCAAAGATAAAAGGATAGTCTTAACGATATAAGAGCCAGAGGTTCCTTAATGAAAAAAAAAAGCCTTTATACAGGCCCAAGTGGCCCATGGGGTCAGTGCTTAACTCTGCTTTTCTTAGCATGTAGCAGCTAGGAGTATTGCTACTCCCCCCTGGATGGGATGCTAGTCCATTGCAGGGTTACCCCCAGCACATTTGCTGGTGCCCATTTGTACACCTGGGTGAAGAGAAGCACTGTGAGAGTAAAGTGACTTGCCTAAGAACACAACACAATGACCCCGGCCAGGGCTTGAGAACACGGACCACCCGATCCAGAGTCAAGTGCACTAACCATGAGGCCATTGCGCCTCACAAGATTAAGTGTTGGCTGACAATGTTAGCTCAGTCAATGAGGTTTGGCAAAGCTCAAATTAGGTTAGCATAGCCTAGAGGTATCTCTAATATGAGGGGATTTAAACATAATGCTTCACATGTTGTTCAATTGTACTGCTTGTTTCTAAATTAGCAGCTTTGTTATCCCCCACTCCCATCCACATTTCATAAAAAATATTTACAAATTTTCTTGGGTGAGCATTCACTGCACCCCCACCAGGTATATATATATATTGTATACATAAATTCTTACATTGGTGCTCTGAAGGAGGGTAATTGGTTGAACCCACCTTACATCATACAAAGTTAAACACATGCAAGTTTAGCTGAGGAACTCTCTAAAAGAAATTATTATCAAATGTTCCATTTCAGGAAAAACATTTGCAAATCATACCCTCAAGATGACATTTTCATTGTCCAGAGGATAATTATTTCCATCATACATCAACCTTCCCTGAAGTTTTTCCAGCCTGTTGTTTGGTGGATCACATGTAATTTCCACTAAAGACAAATACATAAATGTTATCATTAAATTGAGAACACCATTTTTTAAAATGGCAAAAATTTTATCATTCATATTTCTTCAGCTGTTGAATGGCCCTCTTTCGATTGTTTGTACCTCAAGAATTCTTTAAGTGGAAATAATGAAACAGGGGACAACTTACACCCAGACAAAAAAAAGTTTTACTCATATTTTAAGCCATTTAGACAAATTGAAGGAACACCACAAAATAGCAAAGGCAAGGAATCTCAGGAAAAAGAGATATTGTGCAGCTCTTAAAGGTTACATTGCATTTAAGGAAAATAAACACCTGAAAAATACATACTTTGCACTTTTGAGAGTTGCTGTTCATCATCACCAAGCTCTCCAGTTTCAGGAAGAGGTTGACGACACTTCAGGTTGGTCTCCCTTTGGATTGGAAAACATACATGTAAAACCTGCTTACTCAGTAGACTGAAGGTTACCATGATGATGAAATACAGATTGGACTGCAATTTTTCTCACTAGTCACAGTGACAAAAACTGTCAAGGCTTGGAAGAAATATACCGTTGAAATGAAATTCAGACTTCTTTATAATCAGACAATCTATTTTCAAAAGACTGCTTGGCTTTGAGATAACTATAGTTACTGTGTACAGTTGGTCCTCAATTATCCAGATTTTTCTTTAACCTGGACTTGTTTCTCTCATTATAGATTAATTACATTGGAGATCTATAAAAACTTTTCCCATCAAACAAAGCAGATGTACTGAAACAATTTTGATGCTTTTCCATAATCGCAGCTTCAGAAAATGATAGAATTAGAAATGAGCAGAGGCTGTAGCAGCTTGAAACAAACTGATCTATGCCAGCATTTTGTATCAAAAAATGTTGTTGTAAAAAAATGTTTTGGAAAATACTTTCAATTGGTAAATGTCAGTAGTGTTGCATATCATAATTCATTTTTGGCTCATTAATATTTATACTTTTAATTATTCAGACTCTTGATTATCCGGTCTACTCAGCCCAGTCCCCACAGGTCTGGATAATTGAGGTTTGACTGTACATGCTCTGAACCCCTTTAATTCCCGAGATCTGATTGTTTATACTCTCCTCTACCTGCTATATATTTCCTTGTAAATTAGTTGCAAGAGTTTGCTGTTTGATCAAGATAACAACTTTAAGCTGGTAAGTTTTAGTATTTGCAACACCCACATGTATTTGCTGGATAATGTATAGATATACCACAGCTCTAGAGGTTACATGTTAATCACTTCAGGGAGTTAAAGGGTTAACTGCAATTTTTTTTTCCATAAGATATCAATGATTCAAAAAAATTTGATGTTCTTACCCATCTAGCTCAGCTGTCTCAATGTAACACAATCCATTCTCTTCACTTGTGGTGAGCACAACTACATCAGCCTAATGAATCAGAAAAATTATATCAAAGTCAAGAAATCTGCCAATCAGCAAAATCAAAGAAGCCAACATTGTCAAATAAAACATGTTCATTAATTTACTATCAACACATTTTAAATATATATATTACTGCCACAGATCAGTGGCCTAAATCCCAAGGATTCTTAAGGTTGGTTTTCACTTGGAACAGAGTCAAAGTCATAATCAGAAAAGCAGAGGGATACAATGAAGTGAAAATCAAACTGACAGTATTGGAAGAAAAACGTCAATGCTGCTCTTGACTCCACTGCTTACAATCCAGTAAAAACTAAATTGTCATAATCGTAAGTGGAAGACTGTACTAGAAGGGCCTGAGAACTGGCATGGTGATTGGTTGGTTCTTCCCTTTTCACTGATCATTTTTTCCTGGCCTTTTAATTTTCCTCTTTTATCAAGGATCAGCTACAACCCATTCTTCAAAGTCTCCCTTTATCTTCACCCCTTTATTGTCTCCTCACTCCACCAGTTCCAAAACTCACACATCACACTTTTTCACACTGTACTGACACTTGAAAAAAACACCCCAGACAAAATAAAGATTACCAGTGAGCATGTCATTTTCTATCAAAACAGTGAAGCCTAACTAGTGCTGTAATTTCCTTTGTTCCAGAGACTTTACAATGTTAATTGGTATTGATCAAAGGAAAACAGAATTCATACTTTAGTTTGAATTTATTTTAGACTTGAAATCTTTTAAATCATAACACCAACACCATGCCGAGTTCAACTGCCCTTAGCCTAATCTGGGTAAAACTAGTTAGTACTTTAAACAACTCACAGGGATTTGCTCATTGTTGTCAATTCGAAGAACTTGACCAACTTGAAGATCCATCCAATTTTCTTCCTTCGGCCTTTGAAAAAAGGAATCAACAAACTATGAGTTTGTACAGCTAAGTGATACAAGCTGAGAAGATGCTGAAAGTGCCTAATGCAGCAATCATCATGCAAAATTCTGAGTGAGGAGCATGGAAAAATATTGCAATTGAGATGCAAAGAATTAACAAGCCTGTGATTTTTTACCAAGAGCAAATCAGTTGCGGGTATTTCAATACATTATGATCATAGTGATGAATTCATTGTTTCACAGAAAATATTCATGTAACTTACCCACTGTCAGTGAGAACCTTTGCTTTTCTGTTATTGACTGCTTTATCACTTTTATGCCGTTTCTGTAATGTGCAAATTTAGACATGTCAGTTGGCTATACTCTTGACATTCCATTGAAAGTTTGCATGCCCTTAGAAGTTGCATCACATACACTACCAATCAAATTGTTCCCAAACTTGTATTAACACGTCATGCAAAGAATTCTTTGGTCATACTCATATGATCAAAATAATAATTATCACCACCCATTTTGTACTTCTACCAATGGAAAAAAATTAAAGGAAAAATCACTCAACCCTTTGAATCCTAACACTAGAGAGTGCCTAGCATCTAATTTCTCCTAACATATCACCCCTTGATCACATATTGAGGTCATGAGAAAAAGGAAATAATCACCAACTAAAGAAGCTCTTAATTGTTTAAAACAAATTCTCCTTGTCAGCACCTTAGGAAAAGTATAGAGAATAGTGTGGAGAATAGACATTGTACATGATGCTGGATGTAAAGAGTGAATTACAAAGGAAACTTACAATGTCATCTGCACCATCTTTCACTCCTGTTGCTGCCAAAACACAAATGAGAGGTACAGCTGTAGCTTCTGGACTCAATGCAGTGATTTTTGGGATAGACTAGGAAAAAAAAATACTTTTATTTACCAGAAAAGAACAAAAATAACATTATGTGTCAGGAAAAATAATTATCCTAAGGCATCATATATGTGCAATTGACTCACAACCTGAGGACACCTTGCTATTACAGACACCCTGCCATTGCAGACAAGAGCCTAGGCCTCCCAGCGAAATGCAACAACAAAAAAAATTACTGAAATTTACTCCATTATAACAGACTCTAACTATTCTGTAATATGACACTTTCATACCCCCCCTCCTCCTCCAGTGCTACTTTTCACTTGTTTTTCCTCTTGCTACAGCGTTTAAACAGTAGTTTGTCCAAAATCAGACAATGAATCCCCCCCTAGGGTGTCTGCAATAACAGGAGTCAACTTGGTACATTGTACATTAACCTGGTAACTCTGACTGAAAGGGTACAGGTGTATACATTAAAATTCACAAGTAATCAAGCAGCTGATGACTATGAAGTCTCCAAGCCTCCTCCAGGGCCTCAGTCTGAGGTGATGAATGAAAAAGCTGCATGAGCAGGTCCATACCAATTCTAAACTTTGCTATTTTCTCACTCATCTCCATTGAGAGATAACATTTAGCACAGATAAGTGGCCTCAAAACACAGTGCTCATTTTAAATCTTTTCTAAGAAGTAACGCATGTCTTTCACTCCAGAAACACTGAACCTTATAATTGACATTAATCCATTCTTCTCCTTCCCACTCTGCTTATTACTAGTTCAACAGTTTTCTGGAAGCCCAGCACTCAGAGCTTGGTTACAGTTAAATGCCATCCACAACATTATTAGTTGGTGGCCCAAAGCTAGTAATTAATAAAGATAATTGTTTTTAAAATATACTTCAAAAGTAGAAAATTCAAAAAATTGTAATTTTACTCACCATGATAATGATCTGCATAATGAAATAAAGATTAGCAACCCTGCGGAATTGCTCAAATAAGTTGAGGGGAAGAAAGGTGAGAATACTGTATTTCGATGTCCTGATGTAATTGTTGACATATTGGAATTGTGCATTATACTCATGGTCATTTGTCCTCAACTGCCTCTCCTTGGCTGAAATGATAAATGTATCTTATTAGACATCTTCATATGTAGTACGGCTGAGTATTTTTACAAGTTGTGCTGTATTTTGATGGGAAGGCAGTAGATTGAACAGGATAGCACGTCCAGCCAAATGGTAAAACACTTTTTTTTTTTGTATAAAATAACCAACTGTCCCAAATTGCGGGATATTTGTACTCAACTCTGCATTATTTGTACTCTTCTGAGTGCAGTTGGATAATAAATAGGTTTACCACTAATTTATCCACGTCAATGAACCCTGAAATAATTATTTCCTCAAAATAAGAAGCCAAAGATCTCTCGAGAATTCTAGGAGTCTCATAAACTAAAAAGCTATACTAAACGAGCTGAATACTTTAGTGAAACTATGGAAAAACTCTCATCTTTAATTTGGATTGTGTCCTTGTTTCATTAATTAAAAACAATTTGCATAATAAATTCAGATACAATTTATTGCATATTTTATTGCCATAACCAGGCCAGATGCTCCAAATTAATGATAAATTTTCTAGCCCATAGATTTTTGCAATCAGAATCAACACTGCCATCTGATATGCATGCATGAGGATTTTAGCATGAGGTAAGGTTAAATTATGCTAGCAAATCCAACTTAGGTTAACTGAAATCATATGAAAGGGCATCACATATTTAACCTCTAATACTTGTTGAAAATAGTATATATGTAAAACATTTATTAACAAAATCTAAACCAAATAAAGTGGCTCAAGGGAAAATGAAAGCAAAATATTATCCATGCACAGAAACTTAACCTTCATCGATTTAAAAAAATTGTAACATACATGCCCACAGTTTAGGGAAAAAAACCACACAGACAGATTTGCAATTTTCAAAACATTATCTACAACAATGCACATGTAAATGATTTTACCCAAATTTACAAATAAAAAGACGCTAACAATAGAACAAGATAATGTTTAAAGACGTATAATCTATCTCGTAAAACCAGCGTTAATCCAATAATAAGTAGCATGTAAAAGTAAGCCAGCCAGGATTAACTCATTCGTTACTACCACTCCATGTAATAAGTATCATACCCACGCGTTTAGTGTTTTTTTTTTTCTATTTTTTTATTTTTTCAATAAACTTTCCAATCGGTTTTCTTTCCTTTCATAAATATATTAATATGGAGACGACCGCTCTCTCTCTTGCAAAATCAAATAATTGTATTTCATAGGTACCTCGCGTATTTGTTTTATAACGATGAGATCCCTTTTTAAAGCACGCCTTTAATACTAAATATTCTGAAAAATGACATCAGGGCCAAAATACTTCACTTTGCTCGAAACGGAAAGTACGTGTGCATAACAAACTTCGCCTTAACTTATCCCATCGACATTGTCGCGAACTAACCTTCGGTTGTTAGGGAAACTGGAAACAGCTGCTGCAGAGAAACAGCACATCCTGACCGTTCACACGATGAAGGACTTAAAACTATAGACGAACAATTATACAATACCTTCTTGGTTATCTTTTGATCTGCACAAATTCATTTTCAAAGGCGTGAGACCGGTGGTTAATGTTAAACCCCAATAACAGTCGACTTGAAGTTAATTGTACACCAGGCAAGCCAAAGTCGTAATTACCGCTGTTAGTTGTGTTGTCGGCTCGCCACAAGTTAATGACTAAAGGGGAAACTAAATAGCTGGCTGATCATATTTAAAAAAAGTGAAATTTCTTAAAATCCACTCTTTCGTCCGATCTTCGCATATCAACCGCAAAAGTATCATCTAAGTCTTCCTCTAAGCAAATATTCGCACTACAACCTCTGTTTCAGTTTCTCTCCTTTTCTTCTGCACCAGTTGAAAGACTGGACTCCAGTCAAGTAAAAGACCGCGAAACGCCGCTAAACAGCTGCTAAACAACATGAATTTACATAAAGTACTCTATAGATAATCTGGTTTTAAAGTGATTGAAACAAAAGGTTGCCGAAAAAATTAACGACAAAACATTGCAATAAAAGTGTAAAAATTGAAACTATCTTTGTCGATTTTTTTTCTTTTACGAAAGGATTTGGATGTTGCCAGGAGCCCATTATGTTATTGACATTGGCATTGCTAAGTTTAACACTGAGTATGATAAGAATGTTAAAATAATTCCCTAAGAGACTTAACTACAATCGCAAAAAATAATAAAAAAAAGTATTAGCTCATTGAATGCAAATATGTCGGCCCAAATCTCTAGTGTCCATTATCATTTAGAGATCAACAATCGGCTAATTATTTCGTCAAGGCCAAATTCGAAGCCTGAACGCCAACACAAGTGCCCAAACGAGAACGGGGTCATTCAAACCAAGAATATTGGCCATGACCAAGCCCTTGCTCATAATAAGAAAAAGCCATCTGTTTTCTTAGTAAGCAATGTGTGGTTTGCAAACATGTTTGGTATACAACCGACATTGTACACCAAAGCATCAGCGAACATGTAAACATTTGGCAATCATAGACAAGGATCTCTTTTCAGTACTGAACCCTGTTCCGTTGTTTTGTCAATTTCTTTACATGACTTTGTGTGCCGAAGAAATGCCTAACTTCCATAGAGGTAACTTTCAACAACTGCAGTATCTTACTTGAGACTCGGGCAGTACGAGACTTCATGATGTGTGTGACCTTCGATCTTTCAGCCTCCTAAAATCGTGCCACCTCAATGTAAAACCACGCTAATGATGACGATGCGATGATCATTTGAACGCAGAACTTCTTTACTTCTGTTCCACTTTGAATATTTGGGCAAAGTGCAACTGCGGGAAGTAAGGAGTTGACGTTAGATTATGATTTTGGGTTCTTGACTAACAAAATCTATAGTTTCCTTGAGTTTAAGACTCGCTATCATGCAATCGTTTCATAAGATAAGATAAAAACTTTATTTAGGTGTCATAAATAGTTTGGCATGACTGCTCAATAATTGGGGACACTAAATTACTATTTACTTACCTAATATGAAATAAAATAATCAAAATAAAGGTTGATTAAAAATACAAGCTCAGCGATGGAGAAAACTAATATAGCAAATATTCACATTTTAAGCTACAATGTGCCCGAAAGGCCATCCACTCCTCATTCTCGAGTCTCAAGAGATCTAACTGTCACACCCTAGTTTTAAATTGCTTAGGAATGCTTACAGTTCTTACGTTTGTTTCTAGCTAGTCTACTCCATGTCGACGGCTTGAGATACTCGAGACTGCACTTTCCGTATATGGCATCATGCCTGAGAAACTCTCTCTAGAGACTTGCATTCATTAGTGAGGTCAGGTAAGAACGCGCGGTTAGTGTAACTTCGCGCTGCCTCTGAGAAGTTTGCCGGCAAGGTCTCTTTTTTAAGGCAAGGATCAGTGAGTTATGGTTGTGAGCTTCAACCAGAATGCTCGGAAATTTTGTTTCGAAACTGAATGGATTGGCTCGGTCAAACTGGAAAAGTTTTGGAAAATAAATTCCACCTTTCAAGGAAAATCTTTCGTTTTGGTTAGACCGGTAAGATGGAACCTCTTTCGTTCCATTTGGCCACTGATGCACTTCAAGCCAAAGCCTCTTTGTTGTACTCACAAAGCAACATAGCCGATCAAAATTATCAGTGCACTGGTTCGTATTGCTTATTCTTTTCAAGTAAATTATAGAACTGCATTTTCACCAATGCACAGAGAATACAGGCTGATAGGTGAGGAACGAAGAGAAAATAATGTACCATTATTATCTCTTGAGTTACATAGAAAGCTAAGTTTATTTTTCCCTTTGTGAAAAGGTACTTTCAAATAGCCTCGTTTTGCACATCTAGTCATGTAATAAGCTTGCATTCGCGCTATCGTTCTTCATTGGCATTTAAAGTTGATCTCAATTCTAGAAGACCCCTCCCTGATTCCTGTCGAAAGCTTGGATAAGAATTCTGACCAGATGGATCTCTCTTTACTCTATAAGTCAACAAAGTCATACACTTGAACGAAGGAACTACAGTGAGAATTTACGAGTTTCCAGTGGAAAGTGTCTTTTTGTACCAAGGCAACAGTTTACAATCTCTTGACCAAGGAAAGTGTTTTAGTCAAAACAATCTAAAAAATGAGCGCGAAATTTTATTTCAAGAGGGAAAGGAAACGAGAGCAAAAGGAAGTCCTTGTTCAATTTGCCATCGGGTAATCTACAAAAAAAAATCAATCTTCTAGTAGGCGCGATCATTCAATCCATCATTGGGCGCGATTCGTGCAAAAGTGCATGGATCAGGCCCAATGAGATTCTACCTTAGTCTGTTAAAAATTTTTTCCATTTTTTTGCATCTCTGGAACAATACGCTCACAAAAACCATCATCCTTCTAGGAGTAGGTGTGACATAAAATCATGTGATTCTCTGTCGATCGAGCTGACGCCTCAAAGGCCAGGAGCTAGAAGATAGCTAAGAGTTACTTGCAAAGAAAAGCCACTGGAGTACTTTTTTTTCTGTGCCAGCCTTTTTGAAAGTAATATTTCCTCTCCAAGATATAAAAGAATTCAGGGCGCGAATCTCTTTAATAAGTATGGTAAGGGGTGACTAAAAGGGTGATAAAAGTTAAAAATAATTTAACAGAAAATCTTTAAAATTAGCTCTCTGCCGAATTATCAAACATCTCGCACAGCAAAAAGTCGCTCCTGCAAAGTACAGAAATTTGTGGCCATTGATTCATGATAACTCGAACGCCTAAGGAGAAATAATGAAAAAAGCTTGAGTTATCAGGAACTCTAGTTATTATTAAATTGTGATAAAGGAACAAAAACAAAAAAAAATACAGTGTATACCAAGAAATTATAATTATTATTTCTTTTAGTTACTTTTCAGTTCTATTCTGACGGTGCACATTTTGATCCAATTCTATTTCAAAGAAGAGAAGGCGAACGAACACGGAACATTTTGCAATTAAGAATTAAAAACGAAAATATAAAGAATTGTAAGCTTCTTCAAAATAATGCAAATTTTTAGACTAACGTACAGATAGACACGACTTATCTCGTATCGACAACTGAGTTATCGAGGGTGCGAGTATACAGAAAATCTCCTGAAGAGGAGCGAAAAATACTTCAAGTCAGAGGTTGCATGACCAGGATTCGAGTGACCCACCATAAAATCAACCAATAAGTGCATAGTGTAAACCAGGGAAATATCGCTAGTTTTGGCTCGAATAAGTGCGAAGTTCGATTCGACTGTAGTTATTTTATTTCAGGCTCGTCCCATGTCTGAGAAATCTTGGTTATGTGATTCAGAGTTAGATGCGCGAGCTTTGAAACTTAAGCTTTGTTCGGTGAGAAAAGGTATGACAAGGAGAAGGGGTTATAGCGAAAAGACTAAAGTTGCTCCTGTATCTCCTTTAGCCTGATATGCAGTTCCGCGTTAATTTGTAAATTTGTTAATGAAGCTAGCTCTACTTTTTTCTCATCACTGATGATTAAACCCTGACGTTTTAAAATTTTTATTTATCTTCAAATAGTTGACGAAAAATTTTAAAAAATCATGACCAATCGGGAAGAGAGCATCATATCACTGCTTAAACGACTAAAGTACCACTTTAAAATATATGCAATTGAAGGTAAATCGTAGATGCTTATTTTCTCCATAACTCAAAAAGTGAAAATTAATTTCACTATACGCTGGCGTTTCATGCGTTATTTCGATTCATTTCAGCCAGTTTCAGCTTAATGCTACAATTTGCTTTGCGGCAGAACTACGGACAATAAACAGAGTATCTATGTTTATTTCGATACCGTCAACATTGCTGTCAGTTGGTTGTCAAGTAATAAGGATAGGGCAACTGAAGAGACTCGACGGCGCTTTGTTATTGACTCAACTCAGAAATCGCAGAGAAGACGAAAATTCTTAGGAGAACTAAACCGTTATAAAGAAATATGCCGCAACAGTTTCGATACACAACGGAAATCCTTGTGCGTTTTTGACAAAAAGAATATAATATCACCTATATTGTACTAGGTGCAAAACGACTCTTCGTCATAATTCGCTTAGGACTGGTCAAATAATCGAAATTGTTTCACAATTCAGTTTATTCATCATGAATGCTACCACGGTAGGCTATAACATTAACACAACATTGCCCAAAACCTTATCAATAAACGCGCTGACACAAAAAAAAAAAAAGAACAAAAAAAGGTTAGAGGGACTTCATCTTAATCATGTTAAAGCCCGGACCAATCATTAGAAGCAACTCTAATCATAAGTAAAAAAGATGCGAGTTTCGTTAATTCTGGTGGTACGTTAGCCAGTATAAACATTTACTAACGGTGTTAAGAGAAATAAAACTGTTACCGTAACTCCAGTCGAATATTCGCTCGTTCGTGCGTCTTTAATATTACCACTCAAATCTCTTGACGCAAGTTTGGTGTTTTGTCGACTCTTTGGTATAATTCGTAGAATGACTGTCGGCAGGTTTTGAAGCGAGATCGATATGTTTTCAAAACCGTCAGCCACGGCAACGGAGAACGTCAAGAATTCTGGGATTTGCAGGTGATGGCTGTTAAGTTTTAATTTTAAATGTCCCATTCAATTGTTGAGAGCGTGGTTTTACGCTATTGAGTTCTGCCCTCACCACAACCACTTTTCCGCAAATCCTCGCTTAAGCAGGACCAATCGATTCCGTTGAGTCAAACGGCAAATAGGAAATCTCACTGTTCACTGGGAATTCCCCAAGCGAGAGTCGTCGCAATAATTATGACTTGAGGCTATCACTTGATAAATATTAATAAACCTCGAAAATAAAAACATGGATAGACACAACGATAAGAAACAAATTGGCGCCCGTTTATCTTGCAATGAGGTTTTCTGTAAAGATGGAATCGTTAACTCACAATCAACGTTATCAGATATTTTTTTCAATATATACCGAGCATTTTACATGTTTACCTTTGTATTTGTATCTTGTTGCCATTGGTCCGTGGAAAATAATTTTAATATTTTAATATTTTAAATTTTAAAATTCAGCTTAAAGTGAATATAAACTGCTACTGTTCAAACGAAAAAGCTTTGAAATTAATTGTTATTACTTATTCATTCTGTTAAGCTAAATCTGACGTGTGAAATTCACAGTTCAGAGCGGAAGAAGTAATTAGTTGCCACAATTTTTCTTCTCCTCGCCTGGTTAGCATCATTATCGGAATGGGAAGGAGCTGTAGCCGGTGAAACATCGATCTTACCTTAATCAGCGACCCTCAAGAATTATCTTTTGACTTATCTTTACCTGCACAAAATGAAACAAAACTTTCTTGATAAACGACTTGGGAAACTTGACACTAAAGAACATTTCTTTTTTTATCATTCACAGTTGCATGTCTGGCGGTCTCACGTCATGCCATTAATTTTTAGACGGGGCTTACGGAAAAGCTGAAAACAGAAAGGTTTTCGTTTTCAACAGACAAATGACTTTTTGTCAGATGTATTGAGATGCCTTTATCTAGCGATTAACAGTCGACTAAAGAATATCTTTTAGCGTACGCGTATTAGCCTTCTTTCAGTTTGTGTGAAGAGGTTAAAAGCTTTTAAGTGCTAACGAAGTCATGTCGGGTACATAATATCTGCAGTGTAGAAAATGAAAGATAAGTTATTTTATTAGCATAAGCAAGTGATAGTTTAAGAGTTACAAGAATGAGAAAAAATTTCTAAATCATGTTGTGAATTTCTATGTTTTGGATAGCGAGCTTCCAACTGAGTAAAAGTCAAATGGAAATGGCCGTTTTTACGGTGGTGAAGATGTTCTTAACATAGGGAAAAGGGAGAGCGGTAGAAGAAGACAAAATGTAGGGCGCAGAGGCTAATGCGGAGGCGTGGGGCGAGGCTTGGAAGAGAAAATGCCCAGCTGTTTTTGGACCTTGATTATTAAGATTGAACGACCATTGAGCAATTATGAAGGCGTTACTCAAAAGCGCCGGCAGTGAAAAGTAGGTCATCAAAGGTGCTTTAAAAATGCCTTTTACAATGCCGAAGTGATGTTTACGAAGTGGATAGACAGCACAATTTAAATTGTATAATAAGTGATGTAATCCGTGTTATAAAAAGTCGTCACGTGCATTTTCCAAACTTTAAGATCGCGGTTCAGTTACTGAAAACTGATCCGTTGAATGTTTAGAATTTTAAAGAGGGGCACTTTCAATTGTGTACAAAGCTTATACCGTCATAGGGAAAAGAGAAAAAACGTTTTTCCCTTACAAGACTTACAAGTCTTCAGTTCATAGTTTTCTCGTTTTGTGCTAGCTATTTTCATGTTGATTTATTTTACTTCTTGGGAGCTTGTTTGTTTCAATTTGTCCTCTGACGTTTTTTTTAAATCAGTGTTTTTTCGATTAAAAAGATCCTCCAGGAAAACTATTTCCAGGAAAAATTTGCTATTGTGGATCATGTTTACAAGGCCGGAAATTTAAAAATTTACTCCGTTCAAGTCTGCCTTAGAACTATTGACACGTATAAGTGTTTCTTAGATATTGGAAACAATTTTTTTTTTTGGACAAGTAGCACATGATGGTTCATGTCAGGATCAAAAATGGCATCTGAAGTTCTTTAGGTCTGGCTCAGGTCTAAGCCTGGGTGAGTCCTAACCCTCAACACAGTTCCGTCGCCGCGCCTCAGGCTAACGGGAAATTAGTTTTGAAATTAGTTTTGAACAATCGTTTCAGTTTTCATAATGGAAATGTTGGACATACTGTTGGGATTCGAAAACCATCTGGACAACCACGAGAGCTCAAAGATCTATGAGATGAGGGGTTGTGAGGTTTTTGAGCCTGATCGTTTTGCTATCGTTTCGTACATATTAACATGCCTGCCTTAAACATTTTCTCTGCAGCAAAGTAAGTAAATTGTAATAGCTAAAACGAAAATTTGGAGGAAATTTTATCTCAATTCCAACCGTCAGGGGCTGCTAACTCATAAGGATTGTCAGTCTACAAATGAAAGCATGCAGTTACCAGTCAACTGAGTGAAAAAAGGTGAATGACCTAAGCATAACTTTTTATCGAATCAAATACAAAAATGCAAAACTTGGTTAAGGAGACTGAGAGCATCACGAGTTTAAATTAGTCATGAACCTTTTTGTCATTAGAATTTTAAAAAATAACTCAAAAACACACTGTAGATGGCGTGACTTGGACGAAACCGGAAGTGAAACAAAAGTAACACACTTCATGACGGATATACGTTTACCCTATGTCCAAATATAGTAAAGAGTCGTGACGTGTCTTACGCTCAATATGGCGGACGAGAACGCTCTTTCTCATCCAAAAATTTATAATTCTGAGCGTCGCGTTTAAATACGGATCACTGGCATATTTCTACACAACGATGACTTGTCTATAAAATGAGGAATATTAGTCATGTCTCTTTTGAAGAAAGGAGGCTATACAAGTTATGTTTCAACGCGTTCAGAAGATGACTCGGTAATTGACCATGAAATACAAAATGTCTCGTCATCGCGGGTTTATATCTTTGGGAATGATCGAGCCGAGGAAGTTGAGATCGAGGATGGTTCAGTGGAGATGACAGAGCTTAGACCAAGGAGTAGAAACAAGAGATCATATGCATCCACTAAAACAGCCTCTAAACAGTCTAAGAAGACAGAAACTATCGATCGTGAAATTCAACCATCTGATACCATTCAAAGTTTCTCTCTACAATACGGGTGTACGGTATGTGATTTTAATACTTATTTCAATTTAATTTGTTCCACTTTTTATGCCAATTGATATATTATATACAAATGGATAAGAAGACGAAAATAAAAACTTATATATTATGCTTATCCCTGTTTTATGTTCCATGGTTGGAAATTATTTGTACAATCAATAATTAGCTTGGATCATACTCCTTACATAACCTTAAATAATGCCGTTTTGAATTGGTAATGTTGTTTTATAACTTCATGATTAACTTAAACACTTTAAAGAGGTGAATGTAAGGGTTTTTATTTTTCTATGATCAAGAACACCATGCCCTTTAGTTCGATACATCTTATAGAGCTCGAGGGCGTCAAGACAAAAAAAATAATATTGGTTACCGTAACATTTTTTCTCGGCTAGAATACTGGTTGATGTGGCAGAGGACTGCAAACGAGGGCGAAGATGAAAACAATGATATTGGTTAACCATAACATTTTTTCTTGAGTAGAAAACTGGTTGATGTGGTAGAGGGCTCCAAACTAGGGAAGGAATTATGTTAAATTTTGGCGGTCCTGTTCTGCTTAATGTCAAGAATTGCATAATTTTTCTTCAATTTACTTCAGGAAAAAATTGAGGAAAGGAAAATTGAAGTACTGCCAATCAACTGGATTGAAGTACAATTCCATTAGTTATTATTTGCATTTAACCAATTCACGCTCGTGAGTGTATGGCCTCTGATATTTCCTTACAGTATCACCTTTGAATCAAATTTAACACAGTGGTGTGGTTGTTAGGTTCTTGTTCTGGAGAGTGTGTCAGAACTGTTAGTATTCCCTTATGGGAATAACAGAAATGATCAGCACTTAAGAGGCTCCAGATTGTCAAAAAATTCCCCAGTCAGTATCATAGGAAATGTTAAGAAAACAGTGTTCCAGAGAATATGATTGCTAAAGTTAAAATAAAGTTATTTAAATTTTTTTGGGTGCAAATTTTCATATCAAATTTAAATATGGAATTTACAGACTCATGTTGGCTTGTATTGTAAATGTTGATACTGACTGAGCATTGTTTTTCCACAGATTGCAGAGCTAAAGAGAGTTAACAACCTATACAGTGATCAAGATTTTTATGCACTTAAGACCATTAAAATCCCAGTCCAACCACATGGGATATTGACTGAAGTTTCTGAGAAAAAGCAAAGACCTCCATCTCTCAAAATACCAGGGAACCAGCCTTCTTCATCAGGGGTAGATAATGATGATGAGAATGACGAGTCTGATTACGAGGACATGGAACCCAATGGAGAGTGTGTTAGAACTGTTAGTATTCGGTCTGCTCTTGATTCACCAAACAGCTTTCTAAAGCACATGGACAATGATCTTAAACTTATTTGCAAATCAACACCTTTGCGGAAGAGTAATCTTGATGAAGTCACAAGAACACTGACGATTAATTGCATAAACCCTATAAAACTGAGAAAACAGCAAGAAAAGACACTTGGTGCTGCTTGCGGAGTTGGTTGGAAGGGAGTAATTGTGCTTGTGTTTGTTGTAGGTATATTACTGCCTGGATTCATTGCCTTTGTATACCTTAGAACAAAGTACACAGATCAGGACCAAAGTTCTGATAATAGCTGACCAAAATATATTTTTTTATATTTATGGCACATACAGACATAAATTTTGACTATTTAATACTCCTTGTACAAAAAATTTAGTGATGGAATTATTGAAATGAAAGTGAGAAAGAAATCAAAGTGGAGTTCTATTGGTGATGTACACTGCCAGATTAAGATATAAATTATACAAAAATAGTGAGATTTAGTTGCAAAGTTAGTTATGTAAAACAAAATTTAAATTTCTGATCATAATGGACATTAATCAGTGGCTCAATCTGTAAACTTTTTTATCTTTCTCAACTTGATGCTAATATAATATGTTACAATATTGTTGGATGCTTTTGAGTGCTCCCTACCTGTGCATAAGCTAAGGACATTTCTACAGTTGTTGCAAACCCTAGCCATACTTCCTTCTAAAACATTTTCTTGTGTTGTCAAGGACTCAATCTTAGGCCACTGCATACTATACAAGTCTAATAGTCTTGAAGATAAAATTAATTCATTTCACTCAAAGATCTTTTTAACTAAGCGTCGACAGTAAACTTTGTTTTGACTGGCAATGGTGTTACATCATTCAGTTGGAACATAGCTTGTCACATTACTTTGTTGGACAAAAAAATAAGAGACAGAGAAGGATTTTCTGTTCAAACTCTGAAGACAATTTGGACTCCAACCCTTGTTATCCACAGGGCTACCCAAACAGACCAAGGCTATGAGGATGACTGTGCTTACTACTTTTGCCATCCAAGACTCGTACACATGTTCTGACGAGCCTTTGTGAAGCTTGCATAAATATGTTGTTGTTTTTCTTGAAATGTCCCACAACTTTGTGGGGCAACCAAAATAATTCACGAGGAAAAGTTTCTGGAACAGTACATTCTCTCGACTTTAGGAATAAGTTTGAGCAGTAATCATTAAGAAATTGGTGCTATCATGTAATCTTTGCTTCCACAAACGACTTTCTTCTATTGGCCAATATTGAAGAAGACCTAAATGCACTATTTCCTATTATCAAATTACAGTTGTGCTTGAGGCATCTGCCTTTTGTAACAATTCTTGCATTGATATTTGGGTTGTTATTTGAAAACTCTCTTCCTTCAAAGGGCTTTTGCTATTTGATAGGTGTTAATTTATTGAGAAATTTAAAGTAATAAAGAAATCTTAAATGCAATTAAATAGACAGTATTGGTTGAGCTGGCATTTTTTGCCTTCTTTTCTCCACTGTAGCTGGTGGGTTTTATTTTTCCATGCTAACTTAGACAAGGCACCACCTGTATTCCCTGAAGTTGTTATGGGTATAGACACCCACACATATTGAAGCCTGATAATACAGGCAGCAGAAGCTGACTCTTTTAACCACTTATGCATTTCCTTACTTTTTTTCTCCTGGTTTTCCCTCTTCCCTAGCTGTTCCTTTTTCAGTTTTTAGTCAGATGGTATACAACCATCACCCATTGGCTCATTTTAAAATCTACAACGTTCTGATAATGATGTAGAATATAACACAGCTTTGGCTCCTCAAGAAACTACCACCAACTGAAAACCCACGAGATCCGAGAATCAAAGTTACTGCATTCTCTGATAGAAAAATGTTGATTCTATTAACTAAGACTTGAAAAGAACTCAAAACTATTCAATTTAAGTCACGATTGACAGATATACTCCTTAACGACAAAAGTTGTCGTTTCTTTCTGCTCTCTCTCTCTCTAGGGGTCATTCTTTTGTTTATTTAGGATCGGACTCACATTCGACAAACTATTTAAGACTCTTTTTAATAGTTCTAACTAATGACTTGGGACTTTGCTTAGGTGCCCCTTGGAGGAGAAACAATGTACTTTTAATCTCCACTAGAAAAAAGTGCAAATGAAAATTAACTACTGACCGTATTTTGGATTCTACAGACCACAATTGTCTCCAGTTGTGAAGACTAGACTTACTAGACAATTTGGTCGCACACGCACCCCAATGCGTGTTCTAAAAACAGCTTGCGCTTAGCTTATGGCCAAAAAAAACATGGGCATGCTATGCATGCAAGAGTTATTTTTTTGGGGTGGGTGGACTACTTGAAACAGTATAAGTGATGTCTACATGTTTCCAAAAGGAAAGAAGAGTTTTAACGCGGATAAGGACGAAAATGTCGAGTTAACCCACACACAGGTGTGTTGTGCGAATAACTGTACCCAAAAATAACCTGTATTAGTGCCACCGATACTTGTTAGTACAAAATGCAGACTGCAGACTGGATACAAAATGTAGATTAGGTACAAAATGTAGACTGCAGACTGCAGAGTGGGTACAAAATGCACACTGAGAACCTTAAGAGTTTTTTCGTCTGGTATCTTAAACTTACCGAGCGTCACGCAATCGCTTTTCCGCGATCAGCTTTCACGATTATTTGCACTATTGTGGAATATTCCTGGCCCATTTCTTGATCAAGATCGATCTTAATATAATTTCAAGCCTTCACATAGTCTTCTCACCTTGCGCGCGAGTTGGTTGGTGTGATGCCTGTATAGATTTTACCAACGTAAGAGTAGATGTAGATGTAAATGAGATGTCACTACGGAATATTTAACATGCACAACCTTCAAGAAACAATTGACAGCTTTGCAGGTGGTCCGAATTATCATCTTTTTCAGCGGTATGTGTTTATTTTGTTGACAAAATTGCGGACTGAGCCCAAAACTGTTCCTTTGACTTGATATATTTTCGACGTTAGTGGATCACATCATATTAACTTACCTCCGTAAATTATTCATTCCGAATAACAAAATCAAATAAACATGCTTACGATGGTATCTAAATTCGTCCTTGACCAAACACAAACGACTCCACAAGATCACTTTCTCCAGGCATCGAAAACATACACAAAATCGTCCTTAGCTAATAATATTTTTTCATTAAAAAAACAACTCAAAAAACTCAAAAACAAAAAAAGCAACAAAAAAAGTCAGCATCACTCTTTACTTAAAATCACTTCTTTGAACAGCTACTAACTGTACCAAAAGATCGCAAAGAGATTAACCAAAAAAAAAAAGAAGCGTGGCTTTGTCACGTCACAAGTAAGGCGGCAGTTTGCTGAGCAGTATTCAAAATAGCGGAGTCCTTAGTCTAAATTTGAACTCATCAGAGGTCAACTTTTGACAGGTTAGGTCACTCCTTGGAATCTCAAACAACAACGAATGTCACAGTTTCATATTTACTTTTTCATTAGTTAAGATAAATCTTTTTGTGTGTGTAGGAGCAAACTTCCTTAACAATCCAAATACAAATCCAAAGTTATTACAACATACGGATCCAACTTTTAATTACGAATCCAAAGATAGAACTAAGGATCAAAAGTTATTATTAAGAACTTTAATGGTAGCATAGTGAACTGGAAAGATCTCCTAGCATACCATCACGGCAGTGATATTTTAAAAAATTAAATTCTTGAAACAGAAAGCAGCATAATGCTTAGGTTTATACACAACTAAACTATCGCATCTTTTGTTTTGAAATAGGCTCTAAGTCTATGTAAAAGGTATAATTACAATAATGTTTACAAAAGTGGTCTAATGTAAATTGCATATATCTTGTGCTGTGACACGATGAACGATATTCACGTAAAGCTTCTGTCGGTACGGAAAGCGACAACAAAAAGTAAAATTTTAGTTCATATCTAAATAATCAAAACAAAAATACCGCATGGTCGATCGCAGTTTCTATCCGGAAATGTTAAAATTATACCCTGAGGGGAACGTTCTATCCTTTTATTTCCAACTCTGATGACACGCAAAACTGAAACTTTTAAAACTATTCAGCACTAACATGATGTAACGGTTGAGTTCCTTCTGGTTGCTGGTAAAAAGCCTCTTTTCTCTTTTTTTCCAGTTGTTTTTCCTCGTTTTTTTTTAACGCCTTGCGGTAAGCCCAGTACTCCGATTGCATTTGGCTGTTCACTTCTGTCTTCTCCTTGAGCAAAGCATCGTATTTGCTGGCAAGAGTTTGCCAAGAAATCTTTGTATCCCACACTTCCATTTCCGACAGAAACTTCGCTCGCTTCTCGAGGTACTGGCATTGAATACCAGACTTAAAGTGAGCCTTGTACAAATTAGCCGGCGCATTTTGAACATTTGGTATATTCACAACAGCTGTGAAGAGTACTGAAGTTGTGGAAGTCGCAACTACGATCGGTGCGATACGAGGACTGTTTGAAACCATCATTTTCCAGGCCAATTTAGACGCCACACTTGCCGCGGTCCCAAAACTTCCCAAGATCACTGACGCGAACTGAAGCTTTGTATCCAGGCTTTTATAGTGCTCTGAAGATAAGTAATGAGCAGCTGCCGTCACTCGCAAACTGTGTTGCATCTTGCCAAGTTCACTCTGTAAGTTTTGCCGTTTCAACTGATCTTCTTCAGAGATCTTTTGGGTAGAAATGCTTGCGCCCATGGCGCATTCGGCGACGCGAACCGCAATAAATGAGGCGAACTCTCTAGATTTCGAAAATAGGATGTTGTATAACATGGATGGAAAGGGAAATTTTAAGTCGTCACAGACGCTACTTAACTGTTCAAATACTTATTCAATTTACTTAAAACACAGACGAAATTAACGAATTGAAACTGAAAATAAAATTGTCACGTTAATCCGGATCTTTCTTTTTTCCATCGAACGTATCCGATAAATTTTGATATTAACAACGCGAATTATACATACGAAAACGATCTCAAACAATTGTCATGCGCATGGAGTAATGAAAAGTATAAATCCCCCAGAGGAATCGAACCTCAGATGCCCCGATTGTTTTCGAGAAATGGAATCACTATAACAAAAATTTCAACCTGAATGATTTTGAATAGCGTTGGGAATCTCTATTTCTAAAACGGATAACTTTCGTAACATATTGCTGTTCTTTACGTGGTTTTATGCCTTCACAAAGAAATGCCTCTGACAAAATATTGGCCATCAACAGAAATGGTTCATGGGTTTTGCTCTTCGTTGGCCAGGGATCACAGGTAAGGATGTACATTTTCGAGTTGGCTTTTCCAATTGTGCTTCGTGTACCTTTTCTCTGTGTGCTTTTTCACTTTGAGCAAGTTCTAACATTGAATCACCAGTCAAAGTCCCCAACCACTGGATAGGCCTGAAAATCGCAGATTTTTTCTCCGCTGTGAGAGTAATGAAGTCCTTTAAAACAAGTGGCACAGAAAAAACAAGGTTCTTCGTACGCTAACACATCATTCACTGTCACCCATCTGAAATAAATTAAGAAAAATTTCCCGTAAATATATGGAAAACTTGCTCTGCGGCTGGCGATTTCGTGCGATCGATGAAGGAGGATAGGAAGGTACTTATAGCAGACTCGGATTTCCTGCCGGGGGTATCCTCCCGGGGGTTTCCTGCCATGGCTGGTCCAGCATCTCATCCCAGGGGAGAGTTCCCCTATCGAGAATCCCCCTAAATCCCCGTCACTACATGCTACAGGGACAGTTATATCGGGAAAAGCTCCAAAAAGTTTGATCCTATGGCTGAAAATAATGATAACAAGTAAATACTTAAAGAACTCCCTGGTGAACTCTTACTTTGCAGTGTAAACGTCACACACGCGGCACCTGATTCGCTTTCCTCTATGTTTGAATACTTGAACTGGGTATTCATTCAGGTTCGGATTATCGTCCACATTCATCAGTCTAAAAATTTGAAAGCAACACCAAAATCAATCAACTTTTTTAGTGATTGAAGCAACTTGTTCGTCTGAATGTCTTATTGACTGTCTGTCTGTTTGTTTATCTGTCAGTCTGCCACCCACAGCTGTCACCGATTCATCATTTCACTCCCTTCCACCCCACTTTCCTATCGTATTTCGGTGCACAAAAAGGAGACACAGGAACGGATGGTCCACAAAAAGATGGCCACGACGACAAGGACGGTTATTTTCGAATGCTCGCTATTACTTCGTAAATGGCAGCTCGTCAAAATATGGCTGGAATATAAACACTGACATACGTCCTCAAATGGGACACCTGCAAACTAACGCAACGACGAGACGATAGTAGATCAAAGATGCACTGTTAGGGCATTTACCTTTAACCGTCCTTAGTGAACGGAAATAACATGCGAAGAGGAATAAACAGAAAAGTATAGAAGCAAATATGTTAATTGAAAACAACTGCAGTGTACTCTTGGTTTACGTCTGATCTTTTTAAGTGATTTTTTTTAATTTAATTTTTCTTCGAGCGACATGACTCAGGATTTCGGGCAACATGACAAAAACTTTCGGGCGACATGACTTAGGACGAGATGACTTTCGGGCGACCTGCCAGTTACCATATTCTTAACTATTCTTACCTAAGATCAGTAAACATGATAACATGTTCACAGTTTCCTTGATGGCAATATAGATATGGGTATCCTAATTTGACTTTCAGGTCTTCAAATATTACATCCTCCATTCGCTTACTGGTAAATAAGCCAAGTCCAGGACACTTTCTTCTTTGTGGATCTTTGGCCCACTCAGTGATCACCCTGTAATTGGTATTGTTATTGTAAGAATATCAGTCAATAAGAACTCAAAACAAAAACCAGCAAACTGCCTGAGACGCGGAAAACGCAAGTGGCCAAGTTGCATTTCTAGTTTTAAAACTTATTGGATGAGAAGGTGGCACGTGCTCTCTAGACCAATCACATGACGACGTAAAGCATCCAAAACAGTCCAGATTACTTTGGATACTCGAATAAAAATCACAAACTATAAGAAACCTTAGATTTAGTGGGCTAATATTTAGTATCCAAAGAAGTCTGTTACTACTCCCGTCAAACAGATGTAGTAAGGATGTAAACCAATCTTAAACTTATGTCCAGAAATGCACGCAGTAACGAAAATGGCAGATTTGACGAAATTTTGTCAAACCAAGTGAAGCTTCATGGATTTGACCATTTTGGATTTTGACGAATGTTGGCCATTTTTGTTACTGCATGCATTTCTGGACATATCTGACAAAGTAATGAAAATGGCAAATTTGACGAAATTTTGTGAAACCGAGTGAATGTTCACGGATTTGACGATTTTGGCGAATTTTAGTCAAACTCGTAAAAGCGAAATCAGATTGTCAAAAGTGACAATTTTTGACGAATTTGGTCAAATTAGTCACACCGAATCAGCCTGGCGGATGACGATTTTAACGAATTTTGGTCAAATTCGTCACACCGAAATCAGCCTTGCGGATGACGATTTTGACGAATTTTGGTCAAATTCGTCACACCGAAATCAGCCTGGCGGATGACGATTTTGACGAAATTTTCGCCGATTTCGTTACTGCATGCATTTCAGGACATATCTCTATCTTACAGGCTAGCAAGATTGGTAGAAGTTATTTTCAATTATGTAAAGACTTTAATCCACAACTGTAGCTGGTTTTAATTCGAGTGGTGATTATCATGTACTCATTTGAATACATGACAAGCTAAACTAAATGTACTAACTTGCTGTAATCCTTTGAAAGTGGATCACGTTTGTCATTGTAAAACACTCCCTCTATGAAAAAGAACCCAGACTTGAACACATCCTAAAATGAACAAACAACATTCAAGTAAAGATACGAACGGAAAATACCAAAGCAAGCCTTGGGTGGGTTCATGGTTACAAAATGAATGTTGATTAACCTCCTGCCAGAGTGTAAATTGTCCGTAAAAAGTCCCAAGAGGGGAGGCGTGAATTGAAATCACTAGTATTACTATATTATTATCATCTGTATCATTACCATAATCACAAAGATTACCATGATCAAAGTATCGTTTATTGTAAACAAGAGCACGAAAATCTACTACTAATTTTACACAATCTCCTGCTTATTGGATCCCACAGCAAAGTACAAAAAAAAAGCTCTCTCTTTTCTCCCTTTCACAACAAATGCAAATAGTCATGTAAATCTCATTACTGCTCAAACAGGTGAAAGGAGGACATCAAAAGCTACATCACTTCCCTTTCCGTTCAAGTCAACATTTTTTCAAACCACTCTATTATTGTACAAACCTTAGCTCTTTTTTGTGATAATTGGTCTGGATTATTACTGTGATCCCCAAGTATCATTTCATCAGCAGTACAAAATATCTTGTCACGTAATTCTGTGAGACACTTACAATAAAGCAAATGAAATAAGCCTCCACAACTGGCATGTAGTCTAGATATTTCCAATGTTGTTTGCTTACTGCAGAAAAGTTACATTATTTTTGTATGTAAGAGTCATTGAAACTGAACAGGAACACCTGAAAACAGAAACAACCCTCTGAAATCAGAGAGAAGTAACCAAAGAGAGTTGAAACACTCCAAAATCATCTTGAGTGATATTTGTTTTTTCAAAACAAATTCTAGGATGTTTAATCTGGCATTCACCTTCAATGAGTAAGGTATTGTTGCTTCATTTTCATTTCAAGGTGTATGTCAGAAAAAGAGGCCAACTTTGCAATGCTGTTTTGAATTTTTTTGTTTGTTTTTGAGAAAAAGGAAAGGCTCAAACTAAGGTCATTAATCATATCAATCTCGCAATTATGACTAAACATAAAATTCCACCTTACCTGACTTCCCAGCACATGGAATTCTTGAACCTTGTTTTGCTAAAGGAAGAACATAACTTAATATTAAGCTTTTATAGTTAAGTCAGTCAGTGTTCCCTGCTGGCTGATCTAAAAACGGTCATAACTGGAGACCTCTGCATACAATGAGGGGGGTGTCTTAATGGGTATGAAGAGAAAACATTCAGTATAACACTACAGTGGCACAAAAGTATTTTTCCACAATGGCACAATACAATTATGCCTTGGTGGTATAATTCTTTGTGATCAATTTTTACTGACCTTACGGGGATGACAAATTGCAACTGACAAGATAACTTCATTTGTCTTAATTTCCTGAAATGCTTGTGGCTCTTTAGAGGGCTGTATTTCCTATCAATGAAAATAATCAGTAGTGAGTTGATGTGGATGATAATGCAGACTGAAGTGTACGCCTCTAGTCCTGGCAGTTTAAAGACTGGAAATTGCTATGAACCACATGAATACCTAGTCAGTTAGAAATGTCATCAATACAGCCACACAACCAATGAATATATGCAGTCTACATGAACATAACTAGAGTCTGCATTGTGGGATGGAACTTTAGCAAAGTAAAGTAAAACCACAACAATCCCAGATTACAGTGCATTTTTGACACTCAATTTAAAATTTCTCTATCACACTATAACAAATAAATCACACCAATATGCAGCCTCAGATTATTGGTTGGTAAACATTACATGGTACAAACTCAGAGCTTGTTCTTATGCTTGCTATTAAGACAAGTAGCAGTGTATACCTTTACAAGATAATTCACAACTTTTCTATGAGCAGTTAATCTTCCTCTTCTCTCTTTCAGAAGCCTGCAGTTTAACAGGTTGGAAGTGATTAACATGTAACTTCTTGAAATTCCACTGTGTTATCTTTTAAACAGGTTATAAAAGCAGACAAGTTTATCTGCTAGATGGTGTTATTTTGGAATAAGATCCAATTTTTTTTGTCTAATTTGCAAACAAAAGTATGGTAATAAGAAGGGAGAATCATACTAGGATCTTGGGAATTACAGGGTTAAATAACATCTATGATAAACACAGTAAATCATTTTCTTTAATGAAGGATACTATTACCATTTACTAATTAAAATGAATTGTGCAAACTACAATCATAATGACACAAGAATTAATCAGTTCTGTTTAGCTTTCCTCCTTGGTTTGTTATACTTTTTAATTATCAATTTGAGCAACAATCTATGTGTAATCTATAGGTTGTTACCTGGAAGGATGCCAGGCAAAAGACAATAAACCAAAGAGAGGAAAATTACAGTACATTTATAAGGAAGAAAAGATGGGATAGTACTCCTTGGTGGGAGTTGACTGGTAGTTTCCCAACAGCTGATGAACACAGAATCAGATACATATAATTACTTCCTTTAAATTAATAGTCTGTAAAGAATGGTTCACTTTTAGTTACTGGTACTTACTTTAAGGATTCAAGCTCTACTCCATCAGGAATGGAATTCCCAAAAATATCGATAGATTCCAAGCCTTCTGTTTCTGCTGGGCACTAAGATGAAACCAGGTATATCATTCTCAGAGAGGGACCATACCAATTATTAGTAAACTCATGTTTAACAGGATGTGACTGATGACAAAATGTTTTAGGAAAACAAAGAAAAGAAAGTTTTTAAATCTCCACATTAAAAGGCCGATATATTTCTCAGCTCACATTCTCACACTGGTGATTTTATTTTTTTCCCTTCAAAAGTAAGAAGTTGATCATAAAGTTAAAAGACATTTAGGTTGCGTTACAGATAACAGTGTTTTCTGGTGGTAAGGATTAATTCTGGCTTAAAATGTAATTTTGATATTTCCTGATTAATAGGATGTTGAAGACAAGTTTGACAACCAGAATTTGCCATCTTGAAATTTTTTGCGGTCTCAGTCACTGCCAATTATTGTAATAAGGCTGATTGTTGACTTAAACTAATGCCCCATAGCCTGATAGATAGTATCTAATGAGTAGTGTAACAATCAAGAATAATTCTATAGCTAGTCAAGAACCACTGCGATAAAATTTACAGAATCAAATAGCATAGCCTCATGAATACAGAAAGTACAGCAAGTTCATGCCCATTTAAATGGAAAATTTCAATGAAAGTTAGCTAAAATGCCAAAAAATACCATTTTCAACCATGTTCTAATGCATTAGTCATCAGAAAAATTGACTTTATAGTTAGTCAATCTGACAAAGGTAATATTCACTGATGCCCATAATGATAAACTAGCCCAAGACAATTTTTGACATACCTTTAAATTGCTTGAACTTTTTCACATAGAAGAAGAAAAAAGAAAGAAAAAAAAGATGTACTGAGTAAATCCATGTAAGTGTTCTTGCAAAAATAAACACAAAGAACTGTTCGCACCGCCAATTTTGTTACAGTCTTGGGGTGCAAGAATTCTGTATAAGTTGGATATGACCCTCTTACAATCATACTTCCGCATAGTCTTCAATTATTAATTTTGTATAACAGCTCTTTGATAAACGCAAACAATAGGGAACACAACAGATTGACTGAAGCTTTATTTGGAATAGTATGGGATTACACAGGAATTTTTCAAAGTTAAACAGATTATAGGTGGATTAACTTGGCAGGGCATGGATGAAAATTATATAGTACAAAATTATTTTGATCGTCGATGTTGTGACTTGAAAATACCTGCATACTTCGCTTAAGTCTGTTACTACATCCATTGGTACGTCCATTTCCTTAGCCATTTGGGTCAGGTCGATTTCAAACTTTTTCCTTTCATATTGAGCCGGTTCAAGAAACTCCATAAACTCTTTCTTAAACTGTTTTATGGATATCAGATTTGAACACTCTCCACGAGCCGCCATTGAACTAGTACTGCGAGAGACGTAACGATAGTTGTGATTGGGCAAACGGCATTGGAGAGTGTATTCACCAATCAAAGTACTTGTACTAAGTTGTATTTAAATGAGCATTATGGTCTAGATTTTACATATCTCGTACATGATTTGCACACCGCATCAGGAAATGCGAAAACCTTGACAAGGAAGAAGTTCACTTTCTAGAACGTTGATTATATTGTTAAAGCTGTTTGTGGAATCTACTCAAAACAGATATCTGCTGATTTTCGCTCATTGGAAGAGCCATTTTTTCAAAACTATTAAATGAACTCGCGAGATGAGCTCATCTCCGTATAACTGGCAATCTGAGAAAACTTCTGTGCAGGATGCAATCTCCTTCCTCTTTAACAACGAAATAGTGAGCGATGTACATTTTATGGTCGGGAAAGGCACTCAGAGGCGACGAATTCCTGCCCACAAATTTATACTCGCTGTAAGAAGCGCTGTTTTTGATGCTATGTTCAATGGTGGAATGTCAACAGAGTCAGACGAAGTGGAACTACCCGACGTTGAATATTCAGCTTTCCACTCCTTGCTTCGATTTATTTATACTGACGAAGTACAAATTGGACCCGAAACAGTAATGACGACTCTTTACACGGCCAAAAAATACGCGGTGCCAACTCTGGAAAACGCCTGCGTGGATTTCTTAAAGAAGAATTTAAGTCCAGATAACGCTTTCATGTTGTTGAGCCAAGCCAGACTGTTTGATGAACCTCAATTAGCAGACCTATGTCTCGAATGTATTGACAAGAACACTGCAGAGGCGATTGCAGCGGAAGGCTTTACTGATATTGATTTTGAAACACTTTGTGTCGTTTTGCAAAGAGACACTTTGTCCATCCGCGAAAGCCTTTTGTTCGCTGAAGCTTTGAGGTGGGCTGAACACGAATGTCAACGCAGGAGAATACCCTCCACTCCTGAAAACAAAAGGTCAGATTATAAGAATTGATAAGCTTTTAAAATTTAGGATGCGCTTGAGAACCCTATGGAGCTCATCTCCTCAGTTGTTAGCTCTGCGCAATCAAGCACGTAGCAATAAGGAGATACAGGTATCATTCAATTAGAAACAAGTTTCAGGCGTTAGGGGTAGGGCCAAAAATAGGGAATTGATTGGAAATATGTACAGAGATTAATCTTCTTTATGCTTCTAGGATCGAAACAATATTGTATGAATTTGTATATGAGCAGTGGCACTGCATCTTTCAGTATCAAAGTAATTCTACTTTGAAAAGTCAAAGAAGTGTAAAGGGGGGGAATTGCTAAGGGGAGTCAGGTGTTTTTATTTTTGCGTGGTGTTTTTGTCAGTTTGTGAGATTTTGGTAGCTTTAATGGGTTTTTTTTCTCCAATTCTACTGTGCTCTGAAGTTTGCGAACCATGATATAAGGGATTTTCTATTATTTTGGAGTTTTGGTGGTCAAACCAATTTTTTGTGAAATCGGATCATCTGTAATAATCCTAATACTTCAACAATACTGATCTTAAAGGTGGTGTATGTGACCTGGAGCCTTTGATATATGTAGAAGTAAAAATTCCCTTTTCTATAGACAAAAATTGTAACCATAATCATTCCTAATATTTCTTGTAGAAATGTTCTTTCAAGGGCCCTGTACATGATCCGCTTTCCGCTAATGACCATAGAGGAGTTTGCAGCTGGTGTTGCACAGTTTGGAATCCTCACTGACAGGGAGGCAGTCAGCTTGTTTCTTTACTTCACTGTCAACCCTAAGCCTGAGGTCAATTTCTTGGACAAGCCACGCTGTTGTTTGACTGGTAAGGAAAAAGCAGTTTGTCGCTTCCAAAAAGTTGAGAGTCGTTGGGGTTACAGTGGTACAAGTGACAGGATACGATTCACATGCAGTCGAAAGATCTTTGTGGTGGGTTTTGGCCTTTACGGATCAATGTATGGTCCAAGTGACTATCAAGTAACTATTCAAGTCATTGTGACAGAGACAGGAAAAATTCTTGGCCACAATGAAACAGCATTCAGCAGTGATGGCAGCGACTCCACTTTCCGTGTTATGTTTAAGGAGCCAATTGAGATTCAAGCTGGAGTAAGTTACACTGCCAGTGCAACTTTGAAGGGTCCTGATTCACACTATGGCACTTCAGGTGGAAAGAAAGTTGTTTTTGAAACAGAGCAGAAAGAAAAGATAACTTTCCAGTTTTCATATGCCACTGGAAACAATAATGGTACCTCCATAGAGGATGGACAGCTACCAGAACTAATTTTTTACACCTGATCAGGAAACAACTGTATACATGTAGAAGGACTCTAAAGAAATCATCATATACAGTGTACACTCAAAAAATTTTCCCGGTTATTGTACATATGTCATTATTTTGTTTGAGTTTGCTTTCTGTTTAGCACCTGCTCTTCTGGGCTTCAATGTTTTGAATGCTTTGCTTGAGGTTAAATTAGTTTTAAGGACAACAAGCTGTCTACCCTGTATATTGTAGCCTAAGATGACCTTTATTTTGTAATGATTAATTATCACACTTAAAAGTGTGAAAAAAGAGGATAAGAAGTGTATTGAAAAGTAAATAACAAATCTTCCATATAAATAGGAGACTGCAACTAATAAGGTTAGACATTAAGATGTGAGAGTGCATAGTAATGAGGTGATATTAATATTCTGTGGAGGCACTGAAACAGGCTCTCATGTAGAGAAAGTTGAAATGTAGTGAAAGATGATAAAAATTTGCCATACTGTCCTGCTTTTTTTGGGAAAGAGTTTGGGTGGAGTAGGAAACTTCTCTGACCAGTTATGGGATGTGTGAGCCATGTACATACATGGGCCATTGAAGAAAAAGGAAATTCACGGATTTTACATTAGATCTATCATCAAGAATGGAATTAATTTCTTGATGTGCCTCACCTGTGTCACTTTCTTTCTTTCAAGGGGGATAGTTATGCAAAAATGTTTTTATGTGACTCCAGAGAGAAGTTAGTACAGCTTTAAGGAGTACCTTGGGCTTATGAACATTTACTGGAACATATCATAAGTTTAATCTTCTAACCCTGAATATCTCAATCAGTAGTTCTCCTTTTTTTGTCTGTCATACATTTCTCATAATTGTCATTTGAGAATTTGGTGTTTGGTTGAAAAATCATCTCCTAGTAATATTTTCATTTACTCTCATCACTTGTGTGCATGACATAGTACTGAAATTGGAGAGAGAAACTGATCTTAGTCACTCCTGGGTGTGGAAGGGTCATCAAACTAATGAAACTTCATAAAAACCATTCAGTATATTGAAATTAAATTATTGTCCCAAAGATGTCTTATAAAGTAATTGCCAGCATGATTAGGAGTAATTTATTCAGGTGTATAGCCAGCTTCTCCACCTGTTGTAAGCCTGTGCCCAAAGAAAGTTCCATTTTTGTTTCAGAGTTAGTGAGAGCTGTCTTATAAAAGTCAATGAGCAGAAATAAATTGTATGCCCAGATCAACTGGACTATAGGCTGGCTATGCCCCTGTTTATTATCTCATAGTAAATTTTTGCTAATTTGTTGAACTACTGGTATATGTAAGATCTTTTTTGTTAAAGATGCTTTCATTACAACTTTAGTTTGCCTCTGGCCTTTCTTTAACAGTTACTCCGAGCTGTAAACAAGTGTGTTCTTTAGACTCACATTTGAATTTGCCATCAAATTTATTAAATGTGACTGACATTGAATTAAATTTTGTATTGATCGTGTGCGACGTAATGTTCCCTGCAGTAGATATAACAGGACAATTGAGTTAATGGAGGGTTAAGATGACTTTGGGAAAGTTATGAAAGTAATAGTAAGATTGGAACTTAATGTAACTCAAACGTGCTCCTAGAGAAAGCCAAACAGACTCCAAAGTAAGTTGTTTTTGTTTGTTTGTTTTTTGAAGGAGAAACTTGCTTCAGAAACCTGCTTAAGATAAAAAAGTGTACTTATAATTGCATTTTGAGGTTCTAAAGAGTATCCTATTCATTCCAAATTTGTCTTCAAATGGGCCTCCTTCAACAGGAAAAAACAAACAATCGAATATTGCCCTTTTTAATAGCATAATACAACAGTCACAGCAACAACAACAACTGCTAAGAGAAATCTTCAAAGAACCACCAGCAATATCATACAGAAAGGGGTGTTCACTCAGACATATTTATGAGAGCAAAATTATAAAGAAGGCAAGTAAACTGGACATACCACGGAGTCGAATAAAACACGTAAATAATATAGAGAACTTACTGGAAATGCTACGAAGTCACTTAGGCCTGTCAACCCCAATTTACACGGGAGCATTAATCAAGCCCGTTTCTAAAGCAAATAAATACTTTCTAATGTCTCTGAGGTCGGGTGACGCGTAACTTTAGCTAAATTATGATCCCGCCTATATCCGTCCTATCTCCCGTCCTTCCTTTGAAACAAGGCATATCCTGGTCTCCCCTTCCTCCTGGTCTCCCGCATCTCTCCTTTAGAATTTCTCATATCCCACATCCCGCCTCGATTTTAAGCCTCATCCCGCATCCCGCTAAACCTATGTTGGACCCTCTAAATGTTATCCTCCTAAAATGTGAAATATGGGTACTCCTGAGGTTGCAGTGGAGACATTTTTTGAAACTAAATTTTCCTATTTAAGCTGATGGACGTCTGCGACTCAAAGGCAGTCATGGAGTATTTAAATAAATAATACATTTATTGAGAAATCAGGAGAAAAAAAATTGAGAAAAATGAGCGTCAAAACCCTTTTTCAAACAGAAAGTGTAGCAACTGGGTCGGTGCCTTTGAAATTTACGCTATTACATCAGACTCGAAGAAAAAGAAGGAGCCCATCCAGAGAGCGACAATGCTACACTGCCTTGGCCCTGCAGTTCAACGCATCTTCAACACTCTCTCAGGTGAACACAAAACCCTTGAAGGAGTGAAGCCGCCCTGGATGGATTTGTTCGCTCCGAAAAGCAACGTAGTGGAAGAACGCTACAAATTCAGATCGCGAGCACGAAAAGCAGACGAGTATATCGACGCGTATCTGACGATCTTTAGAGAGTTGGCAAAGTCTTGCGACTTCGGCGACTTGGAGAAAGAGATGATAAGGGACCAAATCGTCGAGAAATGTTCCTCCCATATCCTAAAGCAAAGGCTTCTCCAGCAAGGAGACCTTTTCCTTGCCAAGACGGTGAAAATAGCTCGTAACGCGGAGACGACCGTTCAAGAAGCGCGACTACTCTCCTAAGGTTCCAAAGGGAACGCAATCACCGTTAACCACGTGCGTACCTCTAGCAGAACACCAGCGAAACGCTCTAACTGTTACAGTTGTAGTGGCACGGACGGTCACAGCCCAAGTAAGTCGGTGGTGCGCTAAAATCAACTTGCAACAACTATAAAAAGGTTGGGCACCTACAACGAGTTTGTCGTTCCAAGCATGAAACTACACGGATGAAAGGAAAGAAATGGAAAGGGAAGAAACCTCAACAGATGAAGGTTCGTAGCCTCTCATCCAATAAACCTGCTAATTGACTTGAGGACAGTTCAGGTGACGAGAGCGAAGAACCTGTACTCTTCATGAATAACGTGGACAACTCCATCACAGCTATGATAAACGAACGAAAAACCAAGTTGATCGTGGACACCGGCAATAAGTATGATATAACTTCCTCCCACTTACACAAAACAATATTCAAGAACTGTAAACTGAAGGAAACTCGAAGGTGCTTCACCGCGTATGAACAAACGGTTAATTTGTAAAGGTTATTCTAACGCTGTCATTAGTATTAGTCATTTGGCCATTAATTCAAAGGTTTATGTAATAGATGGTAAAGCAGAATCGTAACTAGGAGGAGATTCTAGTTTTAAGTTAGAAATCCTTGCCCAAGTAAACTCAGTCGGTCAGACCAGTGAGCTTGACTCCTTGCTCCAGGAATACGATTATGTTTTTCGAGGAATAGGATAGGTAACCTATTGAACATAAATTAACTATATATGGACCCAGAGGTCAAACCTCGTCAGTCAAATCGAAGCAGTTACATAATGAACTTGACAGGATGTTAGAGGAAGAATTATTGAAGAGGTCACAAAAGTAAGCCCCTGGGTTTCAAATCTAGTTAATGTACCCAAGAAGTCGGGTGACCTCAGGGTATGTTGCGACCTCAGAGAGGTTAATAAGGCTGTTATTAGAGAAAGATGTGTTCTACCTTAAATTAAGGATATGCTTGCATGCTTTGCATGGCTCTAAATACTTTGCTAAGATCGACGCAAAAAGTGGGTTTTCACGGCGTCGACAAAATCTGGATCGGACCAGATCGGATTACAGATCGGATCACTGATCGGATCACGGATCGAATCACGTCAATTGAATAAGAAATTTTGCGCAACAAGCCAAAATAAAGCCCGTGTGACATACTGGAGCGCAGGCCCCACTACGATTTTTTTTTCTTTGCCCAAAAACCCCGTGTAGTTACTTTCACGGCTGTGTCGAGGAGTGTTGTGTAGTGCTACCGTGGACGAAGGCAAGTGAGTGGTACGTATCATTCCATCAGTCAGTTAAGAAAAACGCGACACAATCCACAGTTGCTTCTTAATTAAGGTCCTTGAGCTTCTTCCGTTGCCGGTGCGTGAAGTCATAGTTCGCAAACTAATCGACCCAAGTGCCCCACATTGCAAGGACAAAGTCTCAGGCGCTATTCGAGACGCGTGACCTCCTACGGATACCTACGATATTTAACCAACCACAGGCGGCCCAAGCTCCAGCTGTGAGATGATCATCTTACGAAATAACATTCATGGCGAGAGTTTGTATGGGAATCTTTACGACCGCTCTAAGGAATAAGAAAATAAGTAAAATTCTCACCAAAAATACCTCACCTTACTTCCACAGTGCGTTGCTTGTTATCTGGCCGCTTACTACGTTGAAGGGAACCCATTTAAGCGAGTTGTCCATTTTGAGGTTTTCTACGTACATAAGAAAAGCCCTTTTCTTATGGGGAACCACTTCGAAAGCTCACTCGGAAAGACTACAAGCGGCCTGGTCATGAGGAAAAGAGCAAACAAACGCATTCGAAGCCTTGAAAGAAGCACTGTCTGGCGCACCAGCCTTGGCTTGACTTCGTTTAGACGCTCCGACGTGTGTTATCTCAGATGCCAGTCCGGTCGGTTTAGGGGCAATTCCACAACAAGACAAAGGAACTGGTGAGCGCATACCGATTGTGTACATCAGTCGATCACTCACATTGACGGAAAGGAGATTAACGTTAACACAGCAGATTAGTTATCGCCTTTACCATCCAAGCAAAATTATTTTTCCGATACTGGTTTCGTTTGTGAAGACTACACAAGATTTGCTTTCACACCAAATATGCATGTCAGACCTTCAGGCTATTGTGCTCGTTTTTCCTATGCTGAAATTTATGCCAGCACAATCTATTAGGGCCTCTCTGTATCAAGGAACTCTTCGTTGCCGGTCAGATTTCACCTGCAGATTTCCTCCATGCGATACCAACATGTATACACTGTATACAATCCCCATTGGTTTTTAATCACGGATGCCAATCACTGTTATCTTTAAGTTTATAAAAGATGTATGAAACTTTTCTTTCATTTGGTGAATTATTTAAAACACTGGGATCATCATTTGAAATGTCTTTCACTATGGCCGTCAAACTGGTCAACAAATTCAATTTTGTGGAAAGTCGGAGGCCGTAAACCGAAGTGATTCCGCATTACGATTTACAAGCGCAACTGAAACAAGGAAAACCTCGCTAGGTAAGGAAATAGCTCGAACGAAAGTTAAAACATGGACTCAAATTTACAGGGATTCCCAATGATTGGTTTGAGCGTCGCTCTTGAGACTAAACACCAAATACAAACTGGCTTCTTGTCTTTCTTTTTCTTAACGAAATTAAACACCTGAAAGCGTTGGAGCACTGAAAACAGAACTAAGTTTAATTTATCGATAACTTTTAGAAAAGAACCTACAATATATTTTAGTCATCTTTTCAGTTTTATAATCGAGATCTTAACGTAAGACATCAAATTATATCGATTTCATTTGGAATTAAATAAGGACTAGTAAACATTTCAAATATTAGCGAATGCCATTTGTGGCCTGCTAAAGGTTTAGGAGTGATTAGCGTTTTACTTGTTCCAAGTTGACGAGAGATCAACTGACATGCCATCAACCAACTTCATTTCAACTTTTTGCGCTCAATTTAAACTTTTTTCACTCAATTTAGACCTTCATCGCTGTTCTGAATCAATAGGTGTGCTCTCAGTCAATACGCTTGTTGAATTCTTTGCATATTACCTCTGTAATGTTTTGCATGTCTATTTCCGTGTTTTACCTTCAGGTAAATGGTAAACTAATGAATCAAAGGACGAAATCAAACGCGAGAGAGACAAAAATCTTATTTGTGAATAAAAAACTGCCTGATTAAAGATGTTGACTAAACAAAAAGTGATGCATTTGTATAATTTAAAGCGGAGGTGCATGTCATGTGGATATATCCAGTTGTGACTTTAATTAAGTTTCGAATGACAAATGACTGCCGATTACTCCGTGTTTTGGACGCGCGGAAAGAAATGACTGACAACGGAATTTTTATTTTTTTCTTTTCAGGTTAATCTTTTATTCTAAATTGATCGGTCACTGGAAGCCATAAATTGTTCACTTTGTGAAGCATAACCCAAAAGTTAGCAGAAAAATAGACTTGATGACGTGGCAGATAAAAGAA